GGAGACTTCAACTCAAATTTCTTCAGTCCACTGGAAGAGTCAACATCAACTTCTAAAAGCTCAACCTTCAGACCATCAGAAGGCAACATCCTCATTCCCTGATTGGGCTAAAATTCGCCATCAACTATTGTCCATCACTCTTGACAATGTGGAGATGGGGGTTGTGATAAAACCAAAGCCCCCTACGAAGAATGAACCATCTGTAACTGACAAGGAGGTCTCTTTTTATCCTGCTAAACTTCCAAACCAGCAGAAGACCCCACATCAGCCTAATGTCCTGCAGCAGACTACAGCTCCTCCAAAATACTCTGAGGTGACCCTTACACGTCCACAGCCTGTTCAGGCTCAACAACCAATGCTTCCACATCCACAGCCTGTTCAGGCTCAGCAACCAACCTTTCCACCGATGGACATAAGAAATACCATCACCAAACAACCGACTATGGTAACTGATGCTGTAAGCCAGCAGCAGACTATTGCTCATCCAAAACACCTTAAAATGGCACTTTAATACCCAGAGTCTGTTCAGGCTCTGCAGCCAACAGCTTCTCTCAGTTCACAGTCTCAGTTCACAGCTCTGTCTTTCAACATCGAAGTTCCTCCAGTGACTGCACAGATTGCCACCATGAATATATGTGAGTTCTGCACCTGCAGTATTGGGACACTGTCCTGTATTGGTTTTGGCTCAAACCAGAAGCTGAGCAAAGTGCCTGTGCCAGACCAGCATCTACAATGGCACCTTCACCATCTTGTAAGCATTGCCTTTTCTCACTGATTCTCTGCATCTTGGCTCACATGGCAGCCTTTTCCCTGAGTACTTCCTTGGCCTTCCTCATCTCCCCCCAAACCACTTTGACAGACTCTCTGTTTTTATCTTCTTTGACAACTATTCCTTATCTTTATTCTCCTTAATGCTATTGTTCCCCATTTCACCAGTCTTTTACTTGTAATTGTCCATGTTATTTTTCCTGATCCATACTTTTAGCCCCCCATCATTTCATTCTTTAACCTCTGTTGTCCTCCCACTTTTGCTTCATCCTCTTTACAACAACATGATAATAATCTTTGAATTTTATTGGTGGTGAAACAACAAAGTGTTTAAGATGAGATTCTAGAGCCAGATATGCCATTTATTAGTCTTGGGACTCAATTTCCACAACTTTGAAATGAAGATTAGGATAGTTAACATCTTTAGTATTGTTGTGAGTTTTGAATGAGTTAATATATATAAAGTACTTGTATAAGTGCCTAACATATGTATGTTTGTTAACTATTATTATTTGACCCGTAAGTCATATCTAGAACTCATCTTTGCCCTCTGGCTTTCAATATAAACCACTCATTTTGTGCCCAACTCAGGTGTAAGTACTGGGAAGCCACAGAAATAAGATATTGTCTGTGGAACATTACAGTGGTAGGTAGGGAAGAAAGACAAAGTGCATAAAGAGGGGGTGATAAATATAATTAAGCGCTAAAAGAGATACAGGCCTGTAGTGGTGCTGTAATTCAGCAGAATCTGCAGTGACTGGGGTGTGGAATCAAGGATAAGCTAGAACTTTAGCTGGGACTTAAAGGGTGGCTATGGTTTGGTAAACAGAGAAAAATTAGTGAGAAAAATTTAGGTGGAGGCATGGCTGCAGGAATGATTATGACTTAATAGACAAGTCTGGTTAAAAAGAATTGGTTTCAGAAACAGTGAAAAATATGATTATGAAAAACCTTGACTATCAGCTCTAGAGGTTTGAAAGCTACACAGATAAGGAGACCCACTGAAAGCTTTCAAGTGAGAGAGACAGAAGAATAAAATAAGAGGATTGCCCAGCCATTGTTGCTCAATGATTGAGCATCAAGTCAGGAACCAATAGGTCACTGGTTCAATTCACAGTCAAGGTCCAGCTTGATCCCTGGTGGGGGACATGCAGGAGTCAGCCAATAATGATGTTTCTCTATCGCCGGTGTTCCTAGCTCTCTCTCTCTAAAAAATAAAAAAACCAGCCAACCAACCAACCAAACAAACAAACAAAAAACCAAAAAGGATTATTTTAGATTTCATAGTTAGAGTGATCTAGAGAGGAAGTCTTGACTCAGGGAGACCAAATAGAATACTGTAGGAGTCAAATGAGAATGTGCTGAATCAGAGGGGTTGTGACAGGAGTAGAAAGAAAATCCAGGGAACACTATACAGGAAGAACTGACAAGGTTTGGTAGCTAATTGGAGTCAGGGATGGGATGTACAGGAAAGAGAAAGATCAAATATATCCCTGGAAAATTTCTGTCCTAGATGATGAGGAGAATGATGGTATTATGACAGGCAGACATACAGGAATTGGGAAAGTGAGACAGTTTGAGGAGGTGAGCTCAGTTTGGGCATCTTTCATGGGTGAGCTTAAAGCAACAGGAAGGCTTCTGCTTGAGTGGAAATGTCCACTTAACAGAGGGGCAGGCAGCTACCTGACTTTTTCTAACCTTCCTAAAAAATATGGAAACTGAATAGGTAAGTAGAGGGAAGAGGACAAAGCTAAAGATTCAAAGTCATCCACAGAGGTAGTGTTTTGAAACTGAATCTCAGGAATTTAACAGCTTCTTTTAAACACTTGTAATTCATGGACACATTCTCACTGTTTTGTTTTTAAGTGTCACAGAAGTATCCTACCTAATAAAAGAGTAATATGCAAATTAACCACCACTCTGCTACACCCACTAGCCACGCCCACCAGCCACGCCCACCAGCCAATCAGAGTGAGTATGCAAATAAACCAACCAAGATGGCTACAGCCATAGAGAGCAGGAGGGAGGCTTGGGTTTCCCAGGCAACAGAGAAAGCCAAGCTTTCTGCTTTCCCTTGCCGACCTAAGCCTCCACTGAGGCTACAAGTTTCAATTATAGAGGGTGAACAAATCCAAACAGAATGCCTGCCACCATGGAGCAAGCAGAAGGCTTGGCTCTGCTCCAGGCTACAAAATTTCAATTGTAGAAGCTAAATAAATTCCAGATACCAGGGCCTCCACTTGGGAGTGTGGCTGGCCTGCAAACTATCACAGACCCCTAGCTCAGGCCATCCCACACCCCAAGGGAACCGCCACCCTGATCTGAGACAGCCTTCAGGGCAAACCAGCCGGCCTCCACCCATGAACCAGGCCTCTATCTTATCTAATAAAAGAGTAATATGCAGATTGAATATCACTCCAACACACAATAGCTGCCCCCATGTGGTCAAAGATGGCTGCCCCCATGTGGACACAAGATGGCCACCACAGTTGCGAGGCACCATGCCTGCAAGGGATGGCAGTTGAGAGTGACCAGGCCTGCAAGAAAAGGAAGTTGGAGGTGATCAACCCTGCAGGGGAGAGCAGTTAGGGGTGACCAGGCAGGCAGAGGAGGGAAGTTGGGGGGCAAACAGGCTGGCAGGGGAGCAATTAGACATTAATCAGGCTGGCATGGGAGTGGTTAAGGGGTGATCAGGCTGGCAGGCAGAAGCAGTTAGGGGCAATCAGGAAGGAAGGCAGGTGAGCTGTTGGGAGCTAGCAGTCCTGGATTGTGAGAGGAATCCCAGATTGGAGAGGGTGCAGGCTGGGCTGAGGGACATCCCCCACCCAGGCCCTGTGCCTGAATTTCGTGTACCCAGCCTTTAGTAAAGGATATAATGTGAAAATCCCACCCAACCCTTTCTACCACTCCTGTTACTATTTTGGTGTGTGTCTATTCTTCCAATCTCCCTCTTTCTCTTTTCTTTTTGCATTTTCCCTCTAAAGAGGTAATACTTTACTCCTTACTCAGTGATTTGTGCTTTTCCCTGTCAACTATGTCTATGTCCATTCTAGTCCTCTTATTTCTAACTGCCCTTACAACTCCTAACACCTGTAGAGATTTCCACAGAGGGCACTGAGCCAATGCTTTTCTGTGGCCTGCCATAAGGTTTCTTTACATTTGTTTTCTTAAAATGATAAATTCTTGCTATTTTCCTGTTGAATTATTATTCTCTCGTTGATTTGTAGGAATCATTGTAGACACAAGTGATTTTGAAAAAGAAAAATGCATTCAAAGTAGTTAACTGGCATTACCTATCCAAGAAAAAGAGTTTGGGTTCTGAGGGGAAGCCTCAGGGTGTCAGTGGAGCCACATTATGTCTTTATTAATAATGCAAAGGGAAGCTGTGAAAATTAGAAAGCTGGTATTTTCTACATTTGAATATTCCCCATAAGGTTGCCATGATTGTTCTACTTATTCTGTTCATTTGTTTCTTAGCTATTTAAACATATTAACTGTATTTCTTCACAGAAACTTGCAGGGAAATGCTATTTCATACATTGGTAAAGATACGTGGAAGTCATACCGTTTGGTTGAGAAACTGTGAGTATATTCACTCCAAAAATGAATTTTAAAAAATAACTGTATTGTAAGATGCTTCTTGGTCCATAATTTTGAGGTCAGTAGCTCTGAGGAAAGGTATTTCCTAAATCAACATCTATAGATTGCAATTCTACTTACTTTAAAAATTAAATTTGGTAGGCTCTCTTTAAAATCAGAGTCAAGGTGCCTCGTTTGCGCAGTAGGTAGCGCGTCAGTCTCATAAAATCAGAGTCAATTTAAACTTACTTTCCATTATAACAAGTAATACATTATATAGGATAATCATCCTGTATAATAAAGAGCTAGTAGGCAAATGGTCATTACACCATTACACCATTAACGGCTCAGAAACTCAACACTGGGGAGAGAGGAATGGGAACCAGCCAGGCTACGGCCAAGGAGAGGGGAAAGCTGCCCACCCCGTGGTCCTGGGCACCAACGGCTGGGGCTGCGGCCAGGGAGAGGAATAAGATACACACCCCACAGTCCCAGGCACCAGTGGCTGCGCCTGCAACCTGGCCCCAAAGAGTTACAAGCCGTACACCTCATGGTCCCTGGCACCATTGGCTGCACCTGAGCCTACAGTCCGGCCTGGGAGTGGGATAAGTTGCATGCCCTGGGGTCCCAATAAACTACTCTAGTGCTAATCTATAATTCCTTGCCTACATTCACAATGCAAGGCAATGCTAATTTTAGGTAGAGGTTTGTGAAAATAAAGATGTAATTTTATTTCCCATTCAGGTTTGGCTCCCTGAATTCAATCCATTCAATCCTATTCACGGACCTCTGCCCTAAAGGGATAATCAACAACTGGAAATCACATGCACACTTTTGCATGTATTCAAGAAAGTGTACTTTTCTAAGGAAAGGGTCCATAGCTTTTATAAAATTCTCACAGGACTCTTGTCTCCAAAGACTAAGAGTCAAATGTAGGGGAAAAGAAAGATATTTCTTTTCCTATCTATAAAGCTCATGAGTGATGGTAAGTGGATGATTTGCTTTAAATAAAAGTAGTCTACTGAAAGTGATGTCTGTCATTTTCTGAAATCATGGAAAAAGTATTTATGGAACATCTGCTACGGGCCAGGAACTGTTTTATGTGCCAAGATTACAGGCCCAGGAACAAAGTAGACAAATTACGCCAGTTCTCAAGGCGTTTACAAATGTATAATATGAAAAAACATATATATATATATATAATAAATAAATAGATATAATTTCAAGTATTGATAAGGTCTTTGGACAGACAGAAAGCTGAGGAAGGAAAATGAGTCAATTCTAGAATGGCCTATTGTTTGCACAAAGAAGATGTAAAAAGAAAGATTTGAATAAAGAACAGATTATCTTCCTTCAATTAAATAAAGATTAGGGTATTTCAATGGCACCATTACCCACGTTTCCTTATATATTTTTCTGTGCAGTAAATAGTTGTAGTTATTTTGCATTTTGATCCAGAAATAATGTTTTCATTTTTCAGAAATCTCAGTGGAAATAATTTGAGGGAAATACGTAAGGATTCATTTGAAGGCCTGTTTTCCCTCCAGTACTTGTAAGTTAATTATATTGATTTATGAGTTTTTTAGTTGTAATATCTACAAAATAAATAAAGGGTTCAAATGAGATAATCTCTACAATTTCTCCCAGCAATAAAATTCTACAATTCTGTAAGTCTGTGTTGGACTCCAGCCCATTTCTAGCATTAATATTTCTTAGGGATTTTCATTTTATAATCATATAGACAAGATACAGATAGGAAAAACTCTTCAGGTATTGAGTAAAAGTGGTAATAAGATCTGATTAATTATACACACACATGCACCTTGTTATATGAGTGTTCATATGCTATCTGCTTATAGTTAATTTAGGGGCCATGTGTCATATCCCGCCTGTGTTTGTGTGTTTCTTAGGAGACATAAGTTAAGGATGAATTTTATACTTATGAAGGGCTGTAAAAGAAAAAAGGAAAGAAGAATATGCAAGACAGACTGTCCGTGGCTTGCAAATCCTTACTGTCTGGCCTTTACTGAAAAGGTTTTAAAATGTTGATTTAGTAAAATGAGAGGAATTCAGTTGAACCTCAAATTGTCTTCTGTAGGACATGAAAATATAAAACATTTATATTAATTTGAATGCCATTAACCAGACTTTTTCATAATTTAATATAAATGAGATTAACATTTACACATTAAATGTTTAAGGAGATGAATTATGTAAACAATATTATTAAGAACATATTACGTTACGAAGAGAGCAAATTGGTGTTGAGGGTTTCAATGCAGGAAATGTTATACCAATACTAAAAGTAAATATTTAACATGATGGTTAAGTGGTATTGTTGCAAATGACTACACCAAGTAATAATATCAGAAATGACCCTAATTTCACTAATTTCAAAATAAAAATCTCTCAGCCTCCTTGTCAAGGAATCAGTGTTTGCCAAGTAATTCTATGTACTTAGAATAGAGAGATGCTTTTTGCCATAAAAACTCAATTATGATTCTTGGTCCATTGCATCTAGACTTGTGTATGTCGTTAATTCTTATTAAACTAATTAATTGCGATATTTAGCAAGTGGATTTTTTTTGAAAATATAGAACAGTTAAGTGAAGTAGGTAAAAAGAGCCTCACAAAACACTGACACGTTTGTATTGTCAAACCTTTCAAGCTTCAGAGGGACATTACTTTTGTATTGGTCTTGCATCTTGCTTCCAAACCTTACATACAGTTTGGAGGAAATAAAATTAAGTAAATAACTGCTCAATAGGTTAGGTCATTCATTACTTCTGCTGTGAAATACTTTGTAAGCTAACTATTTCTTGCTAGATTTGTATCCCCATCCAATAAAAAATGCCAATCAGTAAGCAAGCTTAAAAAGAACATGCCAAGCACTGTACCTAGAACTAAGGCCCAAAGATAGGTATCTCAAGCTCCCTATCCTTCTGGTAATTCATGATCTCATAGGGAAAAAAACATATAAACTCAAACCATAGAGCACAAGTACTAAGGGGAAGATGATGTGCTGCAGTGGCACACAAGTGGGAGCCATGAAATCATAAAACTACATTTGTTTTAAAAGTCATTTTTCTCTCTACTTACCAGCTGTTTGTTTATTCTATAAATATTTGAATTATACCTGTTCATGTCTCAGTAGACAATGCAATGAGCCAGATCCAGTCCATACTTTGAGTTTTGCTCAGAGGAAATAGGATACAAACATAAGTGCATTAAACAGAAGAAATGGATATAGACAATGAGAGATATAAATTTGTTTTGGTCAGAGCAGATGGAAAAGAGACTTCAAGATGGATCAGCAAAGATGTTAGTAGAGCAAAGCTGTTTGAACAGGACCTTGAAGGTGCTTTGGGATCATCAGACAGATATCTTGGATGAAATTAGCTTGCAAAAGGAGCCTAGGGAGAGGCAACACACAAGAAAATTACTTTGAGTATCTCTATAGTACAAGTAGGGAAAGTAGGGAGATTAGAGCCAGATCTTCTGGTGCTTTGAATGCCAAGAACCACGTTATCACAGCAGTGCTCCAGGAGAAAGTTTAGCCTACAACAGAGTCACTTGGAGGGCTTGTTAAAACTCAAGCTGCACCCCTGGTTACTAATTCAATGGATCCAGAGTTGGACTGAGAATTTGCATATTCAACAAGTTCCCAAGTGATGCTGGCTGTTATTTGAAATTCACTCTTGGTGTGTTAATTGGTGACTGTGTGTCAGGATGGTTTAGCAAGGGGGAGATTATAGATGGAAATACCAGCCAGAAGCAGGTATACCCATCCAGGAGAAAAGTGAGGGACTCAAGTGGAATCAGTGGAAATAAGACAGTCAATTACAGAGGAGAGATGGTGTTTTCAAATAAAAATCCAGCACCATGTTGTTTTCTGTTGTCCCACCACTGTACAACTGAAGCAATTCAATTCATGGGTATTAAAGTAATGCAAAATAAGAAATGAAATTCCATTAGTATAATAGAAAGTATCATTAGTTCAAAGTTCTGTATTAGTTCAAATTCCTGTGTTATTTAGAACAGTCACTTCCTTTTAAGTTATATGAAAAGGCATCTTTTATTTTTTCTGGTATTGAATTTGCCTAGAAAAACAGAACTAAACCAGGAGGTGTGTAGATGTGAGATTATTTCTTTTAATCTCACATGAAGATATATAAACTTAGAGCACATAATCTAAATTTGATGAGACCACAAAGGTCTTCTAATCAATTCTTCTGATCTCAGGAAAGATTTCCTTCAAAATCTATCAAGACATATAATTGTATTTTGTATTTATGAAGATCATGAAGGTGAGAGTCTTAAGAGAGGTGAGGGCAGCGTAAGGGGCTCTGGATAGTTCAAAGTACAATTCTTAAGGTTGAGAGTTTAGACTAAAGCTGCGTATTCAATATTATTCTAACCTCTGACCAATTATTGCCACTCGTTAGATATCTAATAGCTAATTGAGGCATTATTTTATTTTCCTAGAGATTTATCCTGCAACAAAATAGAATATATTGAAAGAAATGCCTTTGAGTCACTACCTTTTCTACAATATATGTAAGTTATAAATATAACTTCCTTGTGTTTAGAAATTTTATAAAACATAATTGTAAACCTCTTTGTTATTTATTTTGCAGTAAGATTAAAATTTTATTAGTAGAAAGCTACTAAAGTTATGTAGCAAATCCTATTTGTCTCTAGCATAGATTAGTGTGAAAATTCTCTCACATTCAGAACGAACCATTCTATGGTTCTCAATCAGGGTGATTTTGTACCAGGTGAAACTTGGCAGTATTCAAAGAGAGTTTTAGTTGTCAGAACTGTAGATTTGCTCCTGGCATCTAGTGGGTAGAGGCTAGAGTTATTGTTGTTAACATACTACAAGGCACAGGACACCCCCCATAATAAAAAAACATCTAGCCCAAAATGTCAATAGTGTGGAAGTTGTGTATCCCTCTTCTAAAGAAAGATCAATTAATGAAAGTATTTTTGAGCGCTTACTGTTCTGTAGCTAATGCACAACATGTATAAACATGAAAGCATAAACCATAAGCAAATATCTCTCACAGTGAGATTTATTGAGTGTACAGAGGGATTATTGTTGTTTTATCATATATAAATTAGAATCTCTGATAAAAGATAAATGATCTGAAAGAATTCTTTTTCTCTTATTTTGCTGTGTCTTTTTTTTTCTTCTTCTTTTTTTCTTCTTTTGTAGAAATATCGGTTGCAATTCCATCACAAAAGTGAACTTTGGGACATTTCAGGCCTCACATGGAATGCAATTTTTACACAAGTTGTAAGTGAAATAGAAGATGAACTTATGTAAAAAGCTTTGTGTAAAAACATACACTAATTGGTGGGCTGGGTATAAGTTCAGTTTGAACTCTTTTGAAAAGTGTGGCTAAAGAGTCCTTCTTTTTTCCTTTCAAATGAGGAAACTAAGGTACAAAGAGGTCTAACTCATATATGGCATGCTCTGCTTTCTCCAGAACTAACCTTTGGCATGTGCAATACAAGGCACTAAGCAGATAACATTCAAAGTATCACTATCATGGGAATCCCAGTATTGCTTCTGCTCCAATATGTGAATGGTCTTTGAAATTCCCCTTCTGAATTTGACTTTGATTCCTGCTCATGTGTAAAGTTCCTAACTGCTCATATGTATGCAACATAGAACTGAAAGAATTACGTTTCAGTCAGAGTTCTCCAGGGAGCAAAAGATGTGGATGCTTCCACATGAGTCTCTTTTAAATGGAAAAGCAGTAAGAATTCCTAAAAGGCTGCCACAGGGCACAGCTTTTCCCAATCAGAACATTATATTTCAGAATCTATATACATCTGAAGTGAATCTTTGAAGTATGGGAAAATATGCTGTTTATGTTAAGTTGTGGTGTGAAAAAGTGTTCCAAGTGATGCTGGAACTAAGAAAAATACATAGCTGTAGCCTCATTCCAATTTCTTTCCTGACTACCCCTCAGTATGAAGTATGGGTTTTATTCCCTTTCAGCTAGAAAATTCTATGATTTCTCTGTGGCACAAGCAAATCATAGTGGATATGTTCAGTGGCCTGAAAAGGATTTTAGACTTAAGATGAATATTGTCTTGCAATCTTGTCTTTGGAAAAGACTGTCTTATTGTCTTGTGGTACAGAAATCCATTTTCTTCATTTCATTTTTGGATAACTCATTGCTCAATGTGTATAGAATTAACAACTAATTTTTTCATATTGGTCTTGTATCCTGCGACCTTGCTGAACATATTAGTGGTAATAGTTGTGTTTGTTTTCTTAAAATATACTTTTATTGATTTCAGAGAAGAAGGGAGAGGGAGAAAGAGAGAACAACATCAGTGATGAGAGAGAATTATTGATCTGCTGCCTCCTACATGTCCCACACTGGAGATCAAGCCTGCATCCTGGGCATGTACCTTGACCAGGAATTGGTCGATGCTCAACCACTGAGCCACACCGGCCAGGCTAGTGGTAATAGTATTTTTATTTTTAGATTCCTGGGAATATGTCTCATGGTCTTCCAGTTTCCTGGGCATATGTTGGAGTAATTCCAAGTCTCTATGGACATCTCATTTCTCAGCTTTTCCTTTCAACTTTTTTTGTTAGCCTATTTTTTATACCAACTTTTATCCATTGCCTCAGCAGTTGCCATGTTAAAACATATACATGAAGTGGTTTTCACAAAATACCCTCTGAGGACAGAGGCTTTAGAGGCTAGGCTGCTCTCAGGTCAAAAACAAGCCTTTAAAGTGTGGTCTTCCAGGAAACCGTCAGACAGGTAGTCGACAGTTCTTTGGGAATATGATTTCATTCCGTTCTGCTTTCTGTGGTGCTGGGGCTGTGGGCAGTTTTTCAAGGTTACCCCAGAGAGGGAGAAAAAAGCTCTAGGATGAGTTAAAGCAACACAGAACACCATTCTTACAGAAATCAATAATTTCTCTTGACTAAATGTTCCCTGGGTTCTTCGAAGCCTAATGGTTAAACTTACAGAGTTTGAGAAAGTTGATTCTGACCATATTTTGCCAGTTGTTTTTTAGGAATGAATTTCTACGTGTCCTTCCTTACTCCACCATTCTCACTGATTTGCCTACAACATGGTTTTAAATTTCTAAAGTCTCAGTGACTATAAGCTAGTTAAATATTTAATCATGGGTGATCATTTTGCAAACAGGAATAAAAAGAAAAAGTGTAATTCCCATAGAGGCTGTCCCAGATGGGTACATGAAATTTGAAAAGGTATTTCTATACCTAGTGGTCTCAGAATTAAGGTTAAAATAACAGCTATTTTCAACCCTTTTTCTTCATAGAGCTTAAACATGGATGTTAAGGTCAGAACAGAGTTCAAATTCCAGCTCTGCTTTTCACTAGCTTGACAATCTAGGACAACTTATATAACCTCTCTGTACCTCAGCTTCCTCATTTGTAGCGGGGTAATAATATATATCATTAAAGTTATTGTGAGGGTTAAATATGAAATGTTCATCACAGATGCCCAGCAGCCTAATAGATCTTAGCTGTGATAATCATCTTTATAATAGTCTGCAAAAATATTCTAATGACTTTTGAGTAGTTATCCTAAAGGCAGATTTTCTTTTCTTCTTGTTTTTTGTTTGTCTTGTTTTACTTGTATGTTTTATAGAATTGAGAAGAACATTCAGTTTAGCATCGGGCATAAAAATGTGTGTCAATTGACAAATTTGTTCATTTTATTGATATGTAATCAAAATGTTATTGATTTATTAAACAAACATCTATTAAATACCTAGTAAATGTCAGGCACTAACAGTCCAAGAAATTGACAGGTTAAACAAGTGATCTACATACGATGTAACAAAGTCTTTGATACAAAAATACACATGGGAGTATGTGATAGGAGCATGCTTTCACCACTTCCTCATAGATTTATCCTTTTTGCTTTTGCTCCAAAATCAAGGAGTTAGACCTATTTTTCTCTTTAACTGGTGGCTTAAAATATTTTTAAAAATTTCTGGAGATAAGAAAAGCATCTTGAATTATGGAGGACATTAGAAATAATATTTCCTGTTGAGCAGGAGCTTCCTATCAGCATAGTCACTAACAGGGTTTTCTTTTTTTCTCTTTTAAAATACATGTATATTGATTTCAGAAAGGGTGAGGGAGAGATAGAAACATTAATAATGAGAATCATTGATTGGCTGCCTCTTGCACTCCCCATACTGGGGTTCAAACCCGCAAACCTGGGATTGTGCCCTGACCTGGGAATCGAACTGTTACCTCCTGGTTTATATGTAGGTCAATGCTCAACCACTGAGTCAAACTGGCCAGGCATTAATAGCGTTTTCAATCTAAAAAGTTCTTTGGCATACTTTTTTATTTGCTATCTACTTTCTCCCATTTTTTCTTTACATGCTCTTCTCCATTTTATCATTTAGAGACCTGGGTAATTACCCAAAAAAGAATGCTTTAGGGATTCTTAAGGGTGATCCAAAGGTAAAACAGAAAATTATTTTTTTAACATTCAAGTTTTGTACCAACAAAATGAATATAAGCTTTCATGGCAGTTATTGAAAATGCAGACAGATTTAATTATATTGTATTTTTCAGAATTCTCAATCGTAATCCTTTGACAACTGTTCAAGATCCGTATCTTTTTAATTTGCCAGCATTGAAACACCTGTAAGTATTGCAACAGTTTCATGGCTTATGATATTATTTCTGCTCTTTCTTACTTTCAACAAAGATTAAATATTTTGCATTTTGATTAAAAAGTCATAATTTAAATTTTACCTGGGTTATTGAAAGTGACTATTGGCACAGAAAAATCATTATTATTATTATTTTATAAATTATTTTTTCTATTTTTTAGATTTACTTATTCATTCATTTTAATTTATAGCCCGCATATAATAGTACATTCTTATTACTCCATATTTACATGACTTACAATGCATTGGTGAAATTGCAAGCTTATCAGAGCATTATGCCTTTTTTTTTTTAATTATTGATTTTTTACAGAGAGGAAGAGAGAGGGAGAGTTAGAAACATCGATGAGAGAGAATCATAGATCAGCTGCCTCTTGCACACCCCCTACTGGGGATGTGCCCGCAACCAAGGTACATGCCCTTGACCGGAACCGAACCCGGGACCTTTTAGTCCGCAGGCTGACGCTCTACCCACTAAGCCAAACCGGTTTCGGCTGGCACAGAAAAATTATTAAGAAAGACTGTACAAGGGCATAATAGCCAGGAGAGGAAGGGAGAAAGGAAGCAGTCTTGAAGAACATATTCCAACATGAAACATGTAGATGCATGCACAAGTACCATGGATCTCAGGAGGAAAAAAAGGAATAAGTTGTAATATTTAAAGATATTTAAAGAATAATCAAGTGGTGGTTGCAATTGAGAAAGACAAATAGGATAATGGTAAAAAAATAACAAACACAGATTGTACTGTTCACCAAAGTAATTAATTTGATGATGCAAATAAATTTAAATTTTTCAAGAAGAGCTCTCGGGAAATACCATCTATGGCAAATAAATTCTTGAGTTGGCTTGAATTAAAGTAACCAGATGTTGTAAATTTCTTTTTAAATATAGAATTTTTGTCTTTGAGTTCATATCATGCCTGTTTGGTCCTTCTCCTTCAGAGACATGGGAGGAACCCAAGTGTCACTTATAGCACTTGATAACATCCTCAAGATGTCCCTTACACTGGAGAAACTGTAAGCTGGTTTTCTTATATTTATTTTCACTTAGTTATTATTTTAGGTTCGCTTTATTATTTTTGTAAGTCATGTTAATTGAGGTATACTTTTTATTAAATAAAATTCACTCTTTTAAAATATATTTTATTGATTTTTACAGAGAGGAAGGGAGAGAGACAGAGAGCTAGAAATGTCGATGAGAGAGAAACATCGACCAGCTGCCTCTTGCACACCCCGCACTGGGGATGTGCCCGCAACCAATGTACATGCCCCTGACCAGAATCGAACCCGGGACCTTTCAGTCCGCAGACCGACGCTCTCCCACTGAGCCAAACCGGTTTCAGCTAAAATTCACTCTTTTAACCCTGGCCAGTGCTTCTGAATGCTTAGAGCACTGGCCCCACACTATAGGGTCCCAGGTTTAATTTCCAGTCGAGAGCATGTTCCTGGGTTGCAGGTTTGATCCTTGGCCCGGGTTAGATGCCTCCAGAAGGCAACCAATCAATGTGTTTTTCTCATATCAATGTTTCTCTCTCTCCATCGCCCCGCTCCCCATCCTCCCTCCCTTCCTCAGGTGAGGATTAACAAAAACAAACACAAAAACAAAAAAACACTTTTAAAGTGTACAGCTTAGTGAATTTTGATAAACGTGTGGTTTTGAGCAATGCCACCATCTGTTAGAGATACAGAACACTTTTATCATTCCATAAAGGCTCTTCATGTTTCTTTGCAGTCAATTCTTCCACCACCAGCCCTTGGTGAGCATCAATCTGATTTTTGTCATTTGAACATTGCCTTTTCCAAGATATCTTACAAATGAAATAATGTCGAGTGTAGCCTTTTGTATTTGGCTTCTTTCGTGTAGCATAACCCCCTTTTAAAAATACATTTATACATGTTACTGCTTCTATTATTCTTTAGTTTTTATTGCTGCATAGTTTGTTTCTGCAGTCATCAATTAAGGATATTTGAGTTCCTGGTTTTTTGGTTATTGAGAATAAAGCTGCTAAAAACACCCACATGACTCAGCCATGAGTACGTAACTCAATGGTTGAGAGTCCACCTATGAATCAGGTCATGCTTCAATTCCCAGTCAGGGCACATGTATGGGCTGTAGGCTTGCAGGAAGTATCTGTCTAGACAGTTTATTACAAAACTTATTGCATCTCTGAAATCAATAAAAATATATTTTAAAAGAATAAAATACAAACACTCATATACAGATCTTTGTGTGAAAATACATTTTCATTGTTTTCGGGCAAAATACCTAAGGTGGGGTTGCTGCACCATATGCAGAATGCATATCTAACTAGTAAAGAAACTGCTAAACTGTTCTAAAGTGGTTGTACCATCCTGCCTTCCCATCAACAGTAGATGAGAGCTGCAATTGCTTCATATTTTCACCTGACCTTTATATTTGTATGTTTTTAATTAGTCTTTCTAGTAGGAATGTATTTATATTGCAGTGTGGTTTTAATTTGCATTTCTCTGATAACTGATGGTGTGGGATGTCTATGTGAAAATATCTTTTTCATTGAAGTGTCTGTTCAAGTCCATTTTTTAATGGAAAGTGCTCATTTATATATATATATATATATATTATTGAAGTTTTACAGAGAGGAAGACAGAAGGATAGAGAATTAGAAACATCGATGAGAGAGAAACATAAATTAGCTGCCTCCTGCACACTCCCTATTGGGTATGTGCCTGAAACCAAGGTACATGCCCTTGATCGAAATCAAACCTGGGACCCTTGACTCCGAAGGCCAACACTCTATCCACTGAGCCAAACCTATTAGGGCCAAATCCACTTTTTAATTGGATATTTATTTTATTGAGTTTCAAGAGTTTTATAAGTCCTTTCTGTAAGATACGTGTTTAGTAAACATCTTCTCCGAGGTTGTGACTGTGTCTATTCAATTAAAAGTATCTCTGAAGACCAAAAGTTTTTAATTTTGATAAACTCTTAATTCATCAAACTAATTCAGCAATTTTTTTTTCTTATTTGGTTTGTACTTTACTGTTCTTACCTAAGAGCTAGAAGCCTGATGCACGAAGATTCATGCTAGAATGGGCTTTCTTTTCCCCAGCTGCCAGCACTGCCTTTCCACTCTGACCCAGCCCCTTCCACTCAGGCCATGGAGCCACCTCTTTCTGCTCAGGGAGCTTTCTCTTTCCGCTCAGACTCCGCCTTCCCACACTGTCCAGAGGCCCTGAGAGATCGAGGGCTGGAGGTAGGGAGGGGGGGCAGAACACCTGCTTTGTTGCCATTGCGACATCCCAAGCGTCATGCCCCTGTCACTTGGCACTTGTGTATGCAAATTAACTGTCATCTTGGTTGGATTAATTTGCATATCATTCCTGATTGGCTGGTGGTATAGGAGAGGTACGGCCAATTTACATGTTTGTCTATTATTAAGTAAGATTTCCTGTGTAAGAACCCATCGTCTAATCCAAAATCACATGGATTTTCTCTTATGTTTTCTTCTATATGTTGTCTAGTTATGTTTAGGTCTATGATCCATTTTGAGTAATTTTTATATATGGTATAAATTAAGGATCAGGAGTTTTTTTTGTTTTGTTTTTAAAAATATTTCTGTGAACCCCTATTGTGACATTTTATTACAGAACTTACTGCATTTTAAAATGTGCTCCCCCTCCCAATATGGCAGGCTAATAGAAACTTGCTGTTACGCTAAGGATAACTGAGGAGATTACATGAAATTAGTATAGGAAAGGGCTCTGCTCTTACCAGTGTGCTCCAACTGCCTTTGACAGGCCAGCCTACAAATGACTATTGTCTGCACATTGTTGTATCTGTTGGTGATTGTCAAACTTCATCTTCCTCAGTTCTCCCACAGCATCTGCCATAGTCAATCCTTCCCTTGTCAGATGACTTCCTCTAGGATATTCAAAATCGTTGCTCTGTAGAACTGCAATACTATTAATGCACTGAAGAAATTAAATTCCTTCACTGTAGTATTACATAATAGTTAAAATTCCAATTTTCCCAGTTGTCTAAATCATTTATTTCTAACAACTTTTTGAGGTATAATTAACATATGATAATTTCTATTTACAAATGTATATTGTGTTTATATACACTCATGTTTTCTTGTACAAATTTTATAGTTCTAGGTTTCACATTAGGCCTTTCAACCAATATATATTCATACACCACGAAACCATCACTAAAATCAAACTAGCTATAACCTCAGAAATTTTCATCATGTCTCTTTCTAAAGTTTCCTTCCATTCCTCCTTGCCATCCTCAATTCCTGTGCAAGCATCTTTCTATTTTCTCTTACTATAGGTTAGTTTGCATTTTCTAGAATTTTATATAAATGGAATCATACAGTATCTACTTTTTTTCTAAGTGGCTTCCTTTACTCAGTTGATTATTTTAAGATTCATTCATGTTGTTATGTGTATAGATAATTCATTTCTTTTTATTGCTGAAAAGTATTCCATTACATATAAATATATCAGTATTTTTCAACTGATGTCTCAGTATTGATGGCTATTAAAGTTGTTCCAATTTTTCACTATTACAAATAAAGCTATTATGAATATTTACATACAAGTCTTTTTATGGAAATATACTTCTATTTCTCTTGATTAATACCTGGAAGCAAAATGACTGGAACAAATAGTAGGTGTATGTTTAAGTTTTTTAAAAAAAACTATTTCCAAAGATGGTTGTATGATTTTTACATCCCCACCATTGTATGAGAATTTCATTTTCTTCACATGTTTGTCAATACCTGGTATGACCATTCTGTTCAATTTTAGTTTAAATAGGTATGTAGTGGTATCTCAGTGTAGGTGTAATTTGCATTTTCCTAATGTTTTATAATGTAAAATATATTTTATATGTTTATTTGCCATCTGTATATCTTTGAATCATTTATCTATTTTATATTGAGTTTTGGATATTTACATATTCTGGAAACAAGTTCTATATTAAATATGTCAGTTGGTAAGTATTTGCTCCCATCCTGTGGCTTGTTTCTTCATTCTCCCAAGTGTTCTTTGTAGGGCAGAAATTCTTAATTTCGATAATGTTCAGTTAATCCCTTTTTTGTTTTTTATATTCTGCCTTTAGTATTGTATCTAAGAAATCTTGCCCATTTTAAGGTCATAAAGATTTTCCTGTATGTTTCCTTGTTGAAGTTTTATAGTTCTAGGTTTTACATTTAGATCTTTCAACCAACTTAAGTCCATTTCTGTATATGGTTTGGGTTGAAATTCTTTTTTTTTATATGGATATATCCAATTGTCCTAGCACCATTCGTTGAAAAGACTATTCTTTCTTTATTTTTTAGCTGGCATTAGTCTATAAATAGCTTTTCCTTTCTTTTTTAGTATCATTGTGAACTCATGAGCTCTTCTTTAAAATAATTACTTTATATTTTATTAACATTATTTTTTGTGGTTGGGAGAAAGAGATACATTTGAATTAAACTACAGATCAGTGTCACCCAGTTCCAATCCCTATCACTTTTATTCTAGGCATCCCATACCTACTGCCATTCTTACCCTTCTGTCGGGCACTTTGTTCCTCTCTTCTATTTACTTACAATATTCAGGAGTAGGTAATGGCCAACTGACCCCTACAAAACTCTTCAGGAGATATGCCCCAACAATTCTCTTTGCCCAGCCCTGTGGTAGCCTTGGCCTATCTCTTCTACCTCCTCAGGTAACTCCTTTGCCACTAATTTAATCCTTTGCATTTCCATAGGATCTTACCTACCCATTTGGCCTGCTGCCTCTGCCAATTTAAAAACAATATTGAGGCTTTTGCCAAGACAATCAAACTTCACTGTGACGAGTGTCAGGCAAAGAAACATTGTGGTGAGTTTAAACTGCCCATGATAAACTTTTTAATTTTTATTTTGTTTTTATTTGTAATCAGGAATGATGTTTGTAAGTAAAGTAACTGCATTATTTTTATTCATTCACTCAGAGTTCAACTCTAACATTTTAAGCACGACTCCTTGCTAAAAGTCAGATGAAGGGGAAGGGTATTGACAGGAATGGCCACATGGTGTGTGCTGTGCTCTCTGCTGGGTTCTTTACTTCCAAATGAGAACTTGTTCATTAGTGTATCAGTTTGTAAACTGTTTTGTATGCATTAGGTTTCAATTACCATTTACCAAGTAGGACAGACATAGATACATCTTTGTTTTAGCAAGTTATGAAAAGAGTACAAATGGTGCTGTTTTATGTTTTATATGGAAACAGAATTTTTGGATCCATCACCAGAAGCTGCTAACCAGCCATTCTAAGGCATGGGAGGCTTTTTATTCTTACTGTCCATCTCTGTACTTGCTCTGAAGCACAAGGTTTTCTATTCTCCCAACACTCGTGTGCTTTTAAGTATTTTTCTACACATTAGGTTTATTGGCAGCTACTTTGATAACTTCCAAAGTGTACTTCCATGTCCAGATAACTTGAATATGGATTTCTGTCAGTGATCTGGAGCACACCATAAGTAAGACTGCTGTGCTACTTTACATGAAGTCAGTGTTGGTTATTTTTCAAAACCATGTTTTGACCAATTATATTACTCCCTCCTGCCCAACAGTGGGCAGAACAGGCATTTTAATCTCCTTTTACAGGTGAGTAAAAACGAGATCAGAAAGAGCTAAGAGCTGTCACCGAGTGCCCAGGTCTCCAGCTCCCAGTTTTGGGCTCTGCAAGCCGTGCTCTTTCCCAGGACTTCCCTCCTTCTCTGACCCTTACCTCCACCAGCAATACTTTTAATTCTTCTGAAAATTCTTGTGTTCTAGCTGCACAATGGTACACTTGAGCTTCACACAATCTGAAGCTTTGGATGGTTCCCCAAGTAAAGCTGAAAATATAGGAAATGACATGAAATGATAGGAAAGTAGGCATCTGACAAAAGTCATTTTTTCCCTTCTGTATTTTAGACCACCAAGTATTATTCCATAGTTTATTGAACATTCCACAGTGGTACACAACCTGGCAAGTCTGTTAAATGTACATCCCAGATGCCTGTCCAAATCTTAAGCACAGAGAGAGGGTAGACATGTTTTTTCCTGTGTAGAGCCTTCCGTTATGGCGCTGGCATATGTGGAAGGAGGGCCCAAGTAAGGAACCAGTGGGCTAGTGGAGAAGGAGTGTCCAGATGAGGACCTGTTAGCAGTGGGTGTTGATCATGGTCGTCTGTGATGGTAGCAAGAACACGGGCACCCTGAAGAGTGGAGAGAGGAAGCCTCAGGCTCCCTCCGCATCCGAGACAGCACAGGATGGGGTGCGTGGGTGTGAGGAGTCACAGTAGATCTGCAGAGAGTCTAACTGAGTGGGTCTTGAGCCGTGGCTTTTCTCCAGTAACCGGCAATTGGCCGTTGGGGACCAATGGAATAATCCTAAACATAGTCACTATATGTCATGATATGGAATGTTCTAAGTAAATAACCACTTTTTAAAAAGATGCAGTTTCTTCTTTTATTGTGTTGAAAATCATAGGTCTAAGTTGGGATATATTTTTCTCCTCTCTAAATGGCACTCAAATATTTGCTGATTCCCTATTTATTTGACTGTGATGTATGGCTGTGGACTGATAAATAACTGTCCCATGAGTCTTTCAATATAAATGTGATCTCTTTTTTGACAGACGTAAAAGTACTTTCAGAAGGACCATTCATGAAAGTATTAAGAGACCGGAAGAACTACAACAGCTCTGAGCTGATTATTGAGCCAGAGAGAACATCCTCACAGAAAAATAGCAACACTTTGACAGCCTTCATGAGTGAGCAGCTAGACTTTAATGATAAAAAAAAAAAGATATTATTAGTGTACTGAATTACATATTGCCTTATTTCATTTTTTAAAATAAATTTTTATTGACTTTGAGAGAGGGAGATAAAAACATCAATGTTGAGAGAGAATAATTGATCTGCAGCCTCCTCCAGGCCCCTCACTTGGAATGGAACCTGCAACCCAGGCCTGTGCCCTGATCAAGAATCGAACCATGACCTCCTGGTTCATAGGTCAATGCTCACCACTGAGCAACACTGGCCTAGCAACCTTATTGGAGGGAATATCTTCTCGGAGGAATATCTACAAGATACAGAATCAGTGTTATTACCGTTCATTAAACTCCCTTTTTCAAATGTACACAATGCAGATATGCCCCAGAGTTATTTGGTAAACAACAGAGGGAACCCTTCTCTTAAACCTGAATTATACAAATCAAGTTTCAAAAGTAAATTGAGGAAACTATTTTCTGGAACAGGCCTCCTGATGAAACTGCTTGATGAGCAGCAGGAAGTAAAGGTTTCCAAGGGAGAGTGGGATACCGAACCATGGAAAAGTGAGAAGATGGAGACCCTGGAGGAAGCGGAGGAGGAGGAGGCACCTGAGGTGAGGACAGCTCCTGTAACACGGAACCTGGGCTTTTACTCCGTTTAGGACATGCCATGAAAGCACTCAGCTAGGAAGACCAGGGGCAGCTTGTCTGGATTTTATCTTGACCATGTAACTTTGGCTAAAATAGTGATCTCCCTTTTTGTTCATTTAGGAATTATGCCATGTTCTAGGGTAGAGGAGAAGAGGACCTAACACCCAAAATAAGTAAATTGTGCAAGTCAATGCTGATTCTCAGATTACATAACATATGAGATTTGGTATGTTCCTAAAGACCTATTTGCTAGCTATTCACCTGGAAGAGTGGGATTTTAGAATAATAGTTACGAATAGTTAGCTATTCTCTAGAATAGGCTAGATAATAGTTATTTTTTTTATCCCATCCATCTCTTTAATGTTTTTTTTTTTAATGTTCTTTTTTTTCTTTTTTCTTTTTCTCCAGCTCACAAAAGAAGTGCCAAAATTTAGGAAATATAATACCATCCTAATAGCATCACCTGTGATTGCAGTAGTGGCATTTTTTTTTGTGGTTTTCTGTTTCATTGCGGTAAGACAATAGTTCTATTTCTAAGAGATTTATTGGGAATTATCTGCTGAATGTTATCTAAAATAGCAAATAAAATGCATTACAAGGTGTTAAATTAGGGACTTTGAAAGAGTCCAAGACTATTCAACTGCGTTCCTGTCCTCAAAAAAATTATCATCTCACTTAAAAGGGAAGGAATCAAAGCTTTAGAGACAGTGGTCATTGTGATGAATAATTATGATGTTGTTTTCTCCCAAAACAGATGTGTGGAAGGAAGGCGTCTACAAGTGGAAGCTCCAGGTAAATATTACTACAGTGTTTTTTCTAACATATGACCTATTTGTTAAAATTTGTTTAAAATAATAGTGAATTAATAACAAAAAAATAACCTGCTAATTTAATTATAAGCAAACTTTGCTTAGAAGCATCTTAAAATTAACAGGTTATTATTTTTCACACATGACATATGGACCAGAAATTTTGTCTGTTAAATCCAAAGACCAGATATAGGTCCCCAAAATTGAGGACTTACTGTACTAGTTTTCAGGCCCCTTACTCTCTCTATTCCCTTTATCTAAACTCATAGGATTTTAACTGGGAGACTCCTTATAGAGTAGTTTTTTTTCTTTAATAAAAAGAAAAAGGAGAGGGGGAAGGAAAATACCTTGCCCATTGTTGGGGACTTTGCCATTGATTATATTGTGCTTGGGCTGTGAGCCACATTTTATGTCACAACTCAGTCCACACATGCCAGACATAAGTAGTTTCTAAAACAAAATTATTATGCACCCTGATTTTTTTCTATTCTGTTTGTATTAAAAAAAACTAAGACTTTATATTTCAGTGTCCGTTATGACCTTTTGATTTCACCACTTTCTCATCAGTGGCAGTCAGCAAGCTACATAACGTTGCTAATTGGGGTCAGACATTTAGTTTGTGTGATTTAACATATAGGACAAGGCAATTAGGAAAATAAAAACACCTCCTCACCCCGCCCCAGCAAATGATGCATGTGAGACTACGTCTAAAAACAGATATAAAATGCTTCTGGAAAGTATAAACTGCTCCTGCCCAGTGTGGTTGTGCTTTTTAATTTTTATTTTTTCACTGCATGAGGGCACTTGTGCAAGGGCCAAGAAGTGAGAGGAGCTGAAATCATACCTATATCCCATGCCAACCTGTTAAGGGTCACCAAAGGAGAAACACATGAGGCCCAAAGGGGTAAAGAATTATAAACGTACTAGAGGCCTGATGCACAAAATTCGTGTATTCGGGGGTTCCTGGCCTGCACCTTCTCGCAGTCCGGGAGCCCCCAGGGGATGTCCAACTGACGGCTTAGGTCCACTAGGTCCACTCCCCAAGCAGTTGGACATCCTTAGCACTGCCACTGGGTGGGAAGAGGCTCCCGCCACTGCCACTGCACGCACCAGCTGTGAGCCAGCTCAGGGCTTCTGGCTGAGCAGCACCTCCCCTGTGGGAGCACACTGACCACAAGGGGGCAGCTCCTGTATCGAGCATCTTCCCCCTGGTGGTCAGTGCACATCATAGCAACCAGTTGTTCCACCAATCAGTAAAATTTCATATTAGCCTTTTATTACATAGGATTGTTACATCTGCTAGCAGGAGGGCTGAGAACAAATGGCATCAATAGAGCAGAGTAGAGAGAGCAGGACATTCTTGCCTCTTGTAAAGGTCAGTCAGAGTAACCAGTTGGATCAGGTATAAGTGGTCCACTGGGAACTGGGTAAGGCAGTTTATTGGAAACCAAATCATGAGACCTACATTGAGAATCTGGTTGGTGAACAGGAAAATGGCTGGGAGGGGCAAGAGCTCCAATCAGGGCATAATGGAGTGCAAGAATATTTCTAACAGTCCAGCCTCTTATTTTTCTCCCCTGTAAGCTGGGATTCCAATAAGCTGGGGTTCCTGCAAGATGGGATTGCTGAGGGATGCTTATCTCATTCTTCTGTAGCTGCTTCATGCTTAGGTGGGGTGTAGAGATGCCCCTGAGTAGTCAGTGATAGAGGGAGGAGATAATATCTAGTGTAGGTCTGGAATAGCATCGCCTCCCCTATGGATCTTATTGTCTGAATGTGATTTTGGAGGAAGGAGGGAAGGGCTCTTAGGATGCCCAGGCCAAAGATGAGTGCCAGGAAGAACATTAAGAGGGCCCCACCTAGAAGTAAAAGCCAGGAGGTCCAGTTAAGATTCTGTAGCCAGCAACCCCAAGATTCTGAAAGTTGTTGTTGGACTTTTGAGGCCCTATCAACGAGTGTTTTTGGCCCCATTTCTTACTATGCCAGACAGATTGGTGTGAAATCACAGCATTTTTTCTCTAGGACTAGGCATAACCCCCTTTCTCAGCTGTGAGGTCAGGTGCTCCCTGGTTTTGCTGCCAGAGAATCTAATTCTGAAGTGAGTCAGTAATTTGGGAAATTTCCTTACCACTTTGGCCTCATGCGTTCCTCTTTCAGTGACCCTAACACAGGCTATATACATAGATCTTCCAGAGGCATGGCAGGGGCATTTTAAACACACACAGAGGATTTGTGGAAGCCCACTATGCAAGGAATTGTTTTCACAGTCCCAGGTCTAAGGTGATTTTGTTTGGCAGTATGGACCCAGGTAACCATTTAGTCCCAATAAGAGCTATACGTGTATGATACATGGAATCACTAATTGTCAACCTGTATTTTCTTCCCAGGGGCTCTTTTCGAAGTTCCCAGCTGACCAAATCAGCAGAATATCAGCTGGAGGTAAATTTGGGGAGGATAAAGTACTGTGGTGGGACAAAGCAGGGGAAATGCAGAGTTCAGATTTCCCTCTCTGTTTTCTAGGAGGGTGGTTTCTGTGCTAGGCTGTTCCAGTGGTTGAAGGATCTGGCCACATGCCAGAGGAAAAGTGAGAAGTCTCAAGATGCTTCTGAGAATGAGGCGTTCCTAAAAATGTAAATGATTGGTTACAATTTAGAATTCTTATCTAAAACGGGGAATTAATGCATAGTGGGCTTTTTCCCCCTCCAAGATTAAAAGCCTTGGCCTTCTTCTTACCCCAGGGAACAAGGTGAAGAGGAGGAAGCCGCAGAGGAGGAGGAAGGATCAGAAGCTGCTGCGGAAGAAGCAGCAGCAGAGGAAAATGAGGGGTAAAACCTCCACTGATGTCCTGGGTCATCAGGGGTAAAACCCATGTCCTGGGTCCTAATAAAACATGCATTTAATAAAACATGCATTTCAAATGTGTCAATTCATAACCAACTCTAGCCTGGGGGTAAGGAATTAAAGTGTAAATAGCCAAGTATTATATGCAAATAACAAGGGCCTTGGCAAGAAAAGCAGGGCTGAAGCTGGAACCCCTAGGGAAGCCAATACTTCCTCAAGCAGCAGTGTGGTCCAACCAGGGGGGAGAGGTCTTCTCTCCCTTGTTTCCCCAATACACTCAGTCCCTGGGAACTGGAAGGCACCCCCTCTCCCAGGGGTACAGGTATTCTGGTGCTCTGTCCCCTGGCTCACCAGTTATTTATAACATATTTGACCTCCTATCCATAGAGAATCATTCACTTTCACCCCTCTCAACAGGTCTTGGGCTTGTCAGAATATTTGGGTCCCTGAGCCTACTGTGCTCCTAAGCTTTTAAGATCATGCACAATTGTGTGCCCTGTCCTGGTGTAGCAGGTTCTTCACCCTTAAAAGCTAGTGTAAAATTCACAGTAGGTTTTTTGGTATTTTTTTTTAATTAAATGAACTTCCTGTCTGGCTGGTGTGTCTCAGTTGGTTAGACACAGTCTCATGTACAGGAGGTTCATGGTTGGATTACTGGTCAGGGCACATGTCCAGGTAGTAGGGGATGTGAGAATAAACAAGTTCTGTCAAAGAACAGTTTAGACAGCCACCATTTTGGACCACGTGACTTGGCAGACACCATGGTGGCCTCCTTGTTGGCCACCTGGGGGCTGCCATCTTGAAACAGCAAAGGCCAACTCCCCCTTTGAATTAGCCAATTGCGAAAGATTGTGTGCCTGAGCTCCAATGGAGAGCAAAAGATACCTGTGTAAGGGATTATAAATCAGAGCAGACTGCCTGCTTGGTGTGCACACGCTTCCAGACCATGTGTGTGCACCCTTCTATGTAGACGTAAATATGTTTGTCTTGCTGCCTGGCCCCCAAGTATATTTTGTGTTCTACCAGGACCCTGACTTGGGGGGCTCACCTGATTTCTAACAGGGGAGTATCTGAACAGTGTTTCTCTCTCTTTCCCTTCCTCTCTCTGAAATAAAGAAAAATAATAAAGAATTGAGTCTTTTTAAAAGCAACAACAGAAACCCCTCTAAACTGTTGGTAACTACCAGGGAGTTGCTGGAGATAGAGGGTAAAGAAAAATGTGTGAGCAGTAACTGCCCAAGACTTCCCTCCTCAGCACGTTATTTCAGGAAACCTACAGGTGGGGCCACTTCTCCATTCACTTGTCCTGCCTCAGGCTCTGTGGCCCCCACTGAGGGTCATGTGTGTGCTCCTCAGCTCCCTCCAGCTCAGCCCAGCACCAAACCTACCTACTTCCTTCTGTGTCCAACACAGATTCTTGGCTGCTTGATGCCAAGTGATAATGGTTCCTCCACTCCTGCAAAGAGAGGAGATTCATTACTAAGTCACATTAAGTCAGTGAGACTTACTAGAAAATGCGTGAGTGAGTGAAAGAAATTCAGAGTGAACAAGATTGATTAATTGACCAAAATGACCACAGATAAATGCTGGTTGCTTAGTAATATAAGATGCAGAATGGTGCCAACATCGATATGAGAGCAAAATATCAATTGCATGCTCCTACCGAGGATTGTGCCTGTAACCCAGGCACGTGCCCTGACCAGGAATCAATCTGACAACCTTTTGGTGGACAGGAGAACATAAAGCCACAGAGTCGCTCTGACCAGGGCTCTGTTATTCTGATTGGAAGTCTTCCCCCAAAACAACCAAACACTATATTGACACATTTGTCCTCTTTACATGCTGAGTTCAATGAATTTTGTGCCCATAAAAATCTATAGGTTCTTAGCGTGGCTGATATCATACAGAGGAAGGCTTGGAGCTGGAGTCAAGTCCCCAAACATGACAAAGGAATCATTTGTTAATAAACAAGCTCAAAGGGTCTCAAGTCTGTCTCACCAAACCCCTGTGTGACAGTGTATTGGGCCTCCGTTCCTCCACATATGAACCTGTCTACATGTTTATACGGATTGACTTGTGTATACATAGACACTGGAAAGATACACAAAGGCTGGTGACATTCGGTGTTTTGGGTGAAGAAAATGGATGGCTGTTGGACAGAAGTGGAACAGTAACTTCTGTACTGTATGCATTTTTCTTTTTTTAAAAATTGTGGTAAAATGCTTATACGATAAAACACCGTCTTCAACCTTTTAAAAATATATTTTCATTGATTTCAGAGAGCAAAGGAGAGGGTGAGGTAGAAACATCAATGAAGGAAGAATCAGTGATCAGCTGCCTCCTGCATACCACTTAAGGGGATTGAGCCCACAATCCAGGCATGTGCCCTGACTGGGCATTGCAATGTGACTACCTGATTCAGAGATTGACATTCAACCACTGAGCCACACTGTGTGGGCCCATCTTAACAATGTTTTAGTGCACAGGTCTGTGACATTAAGCACATTCACAGTGTTGTGCAATCATCACCACCATCCATCTCCAGAACATTTTCATCTTGCAAAACTGAGTTTCTACCCATTCCTGCTCTCCAGCCTCTGGCAACCACCGCTCTACTTTCTAGTCCTGTGAATTTGACCTTATACGAATGTGATCATACAGTATTTGCCATTTTGTCTGACAGTTTTCACATAGCACAGTGTCCTCGAAAGTTCATATTGCAGCAAGTGGGGGGCACTGAATAATTTTTCAGTGAATATACCATATTTTGTTTATTCTGTCCTCCCTTGTTACGTTTGCTTCCACCTTATCTATTGTGAAGAATGTTGCCATGAATATGGGGGTACAAATATCTCAGTGAAGCATTGTTCTTGCCTGCCTGCTGTCCCCACACTGTCTGCTGCACTTCCAGTGACTTAAGGTCCAGGCAGCCCAGAATGCCTGGCCTTGCCCTGGAGTCTGGGCGCTGCTTGTATTCTGATTTAGAAACTTCTTTGCTTCCTCTGCTCCAAACAGCCCCAGCATTGGAGGGGGAGAGCTTTGGAACAGAAACCAAGGCTCCCATTATTGTCTCTGACAGTGTTATCTCCCACATAAGTCAAGGCTGATAGATATTCCACCTTTACCCAGTGGTCTTGCTATAACATCAATCACAATGCATCAGCTGGCCTCTTTAAAACCTTTCAATACATCTCACTGTAGAATTTACCCAAGTGTCTATGAGCCTTTCATAACCTGGCTGCTGGCTTCCTCTGCTGCCTGGTCCGCTCCACTCTCCACCTCACCCCACCGAACATTTCAGTTCTCCAGATAAAGAAGCACTTCTCCTCCGCTGCCCTGGGCATGTCCCTCCCCAGCACCATTGCACTTGCTGGGCACTAGACCTGTCGTGCTTTCCATGGCTGGTGCCTTCTCAGATATCATCTTCTTGGAGACCCTTCCCTACCGCACACCCAGGACAGCCCTCCAGCCACTCCAGTCACCACCGCCCGCCTCACCTCACTCTGTCATGTCTTCACCTAATTTATAATCCAGGGTTACCTTGTCCCTGTGTAAGGGCTCTGCTCTGCAGGGAGAGCTGGGGGTGAGTGAAGGGAGGAGTGGGCGGTTGGTGGGAGCGCTGGGGAGAGGGCCCGCGCCAACATGACCCCGCGCGGACCAACGCCAGACACAAAGCCAACGGATCACATCGTTAGTGGTCCTTTCTCAGAGTCAGGAAATCTGAAAATTTCTACAAATTCAGTAGTCGGTGCTAACTACCTAGAACTTGTCTTTTTTGGATGTGGTGGGGCTGCAGAAAGAAATCCGTTGGCAAAGAACCCGAGTGGGCGGGGCCAAGAGAGGTCAGGTGACGAGCTGGCCCCGCCCCTCGCAACAGCAGCGCGCAGGCGCAGTGCCGCTTGCGACGCGAGGTCCGCGCGGTAACCGTTAACGGAAGAACCGAGGAGCTGGTGCCCTTTGCGCATCCCACCGACAGTAACAAACCAAGCCGGTATGGGAGTGAGCCCGGACACAGGGCCGGGCCTGGCCAGGGTGGAGGGAGGGAGGGATGGAGAAAGGGCTTCCTGGAGACGGGGAGGCCCGCAGTCCAGCCTTGAACCTCAGGCGCCCCATCTCCTGTGAGCGGGGCCTGAGTTCACAGGGACCTGGGCAGTCAGCAAGCCCACCTGCTGTTTGGAGAGAACTCGCCTCAGCCAGCACAGGTTGCTGCCTCCCGCTTCTCAAATGTTAGGATTTCAGAAGTGAACCCCTCCGGGTTGGCTTGGGGAAAGAAGGGAATGGGCGGTTTTGTTTCTCGGGGTGACATTTCACTAAAGGTCAGGGTTCTCCCAGCCTGGCCTTCCCAAGGCTGCAGGGCCGCCCACTGCTGTGCCATCAGGGAGGGTCCCGCTATCAGCCAGGGATGCCCACGGAGCCCAAAAGGCCTGAAACCAGAGCAGCTTTCCCCGAAATCTCCAGAGAAGGTGGCGCAGGTGTACCACTCCCAGCTCCACCGGATGAAGCACTGAATCAGGAAGAACAGGCTGGCATTTGCAGGGCCCTCTGCCTCCCAGAATGCATACGGATGGGTCACTACACCCATCTGCTGGTTCCCATTTTTAAATTATTATTATTTGTGGAGGTGGTTCTATCTTTTAGATGTGCATTGGATGCTGAACCTGGGTCTCTTCCTCTGATGAAGATTATTGCACCTCCTCAGAGGTCTATGAATCGCTGCGGTAAAGGTGGCAGTCTCCTCAGAAAGCTCTAAATATTGAATTTGGGCTTCCTGCCAGAGTGAGAAAATTTCAGTCTCCTCAGGAAGCTCAGAAGGTTTATCTAGTCGTCGTCTTCCCCTCTCCCTCTCCCCCTCGGGGAAATCCATAGGTAGATTCTCCTCAGGATAAATGATATACATGCTTGGATTGAAATTATCATCCTGCAACTGTTGTTCTAGATGCTAAGGTGTTTTTTGCCAGTTGGCTTGGAGTTCCATCAACAACTTTGGTAAGCCTTTGATGCTGAGCTAGGATGATGAACCTACATTGGAACTAAATCAAAGGGCTTAGAATTCCTCCAAAGGGGGCCAGAACAATGGAAACAAGACATAAAGTGAGACCACACCTTGGGAATTCTGTCGTTCCTGTATCTGTAGAGTTACTTCCCTGAAAACACATGGGCTGAGTTTCTGTCCCATCTCTATGATTGCTAGTGCTGGTCTTGAGGGAGTAAAGCAAAGAAAAGATCAGGGGCAATGGCTAGTTTCACTGAGGCTTTAGCATCCAGGTGTCATTCCTTGCTACTGTCAGTTCCACAAATGGAGTGTAGCACCTGTTTCATTGGAAACTTTAGGTCACAGACAATGCCTTCTTCACACCCCAGCTCTCCTGCCCTGAATTACATTCCCTAATTTCTTTGGGAACTCCCTTCATATTCATGATGCAATTTCTGAGAGCTGGTTTCTATGAGTTGGGCAGGGTGAGAAGAAGGAAATGGAAACTGCTGGTCAACCACTTCTGAGTATGAACCTTATTATCTACCTCCATGATTACAGCGCTTACCACATTGTGATATGTGTTATTTGTGCCATTTTCTCTTGGGAATAAAAAATGTAGATCATGTGCTGCTGACTTTAAACCAAATTCATACCAAGTGTTGCTGGATTTTAACCAAATCCTGGCACATGATGATTATAACTTGATGACTTTTCTGACATAGTCTCTATCATGTTTGTTCTTTTAACAAAGGCAACTTATTGAATATAAAATTCTATCTCAGTAATAACGTATGTAAGACTTTCCATATCAGTCCCAAGTTTAGGAAATAACTTTTTGTCTTGTGTGTTTTACCTTGAAATGGACAATAGCATACTTATATGCAAAATATATGTACTCCATATGTTGGATAAATAATGTGATGGATTCTCAGGATGAAATTTCATATGTGATAAATTGATGTTCCCAGGTGAAATAATTAGCCCTGGATCACACATATAGGATTGGTCATTTTTCTATTTCACTGTGTGCATTCTTTGCCAATGTTTCTCCAATGGTCACCACTCCTGATACATAGTGGAACTTAATAAATATTTGGTGAATGAATGAATAATTCACTGATTTGACTAACAGTATGTGTTATGCCCAAGTGCCCACTATGGAGTTGAAATACTAACAAGAATAAAAAGATCAGGAAGGCCATGAGTCAAGGTCTTCATCTTTGGGGATGACCCAAGGTCTCTCAGGCAGTGATGGCAGAAAGTAGCCAGCAGTCATGACATCGGCATGGAGGGGCATGATTTGTACCCTAGCTTTCTGACTCATTCCAGCCTCTTTGAGGCCCCACATCAGTCCAGCAGAGTGCCCCAGCCATGAGCACAGGGAATTCCAGCTGAACTATTCATGTTTTGCAACATCATTGACTAGTCCTGCTCTGTGCCCTCTTCATTGATCCCAAGCCCTGGTCCTGTTGGGTTGGTTTCATTTCAGTTTCTGTAGTTTCAATCAGAGAGGTGTCAATCACAGCTCTCTCCCTTCAAGAGCAGAAGCTCCATGGATGCTTCATGGATAACACTTCCCCTGTATGGTCCAGCCTCATCCTCCTTTTTTCAGGTGTGGCCCAGAGTCAGGTTGCAGCAGACTTGGCTCCATCTTTCATGTAGGTAGAAACGTTCTTTCTAGCATCCAAGAGAGACAATGTCTTCATGCAGCCCCTTCTCTCTGCTTTTCTATCTGGAGTTCTTGTCATGCTTCTCTGTATGTGTACAGTGGATCAAAGCATACAAGTGGTATTGCTTCAGATCTTTCCCCCTGTCCCTGTGCTCCTGTATTCTCAACTCACTAAAAGGCATTCCCTCCTACCCAGCTTCCAAGCCAGTAACCTGGGTGTCTCCCTTGGCTCATCTTCACTTCACCTCCTTCATCTATGGTAGTCCCCCCTTATATTTGTGGTTTCACTTTTCTTGGTTTCAGTTAGTCTTGGTCAGTTGTGGTCCAAAATATTAAATGGAAAATTTAGATGTAAACAATTTATGAGTTTTAAATTGCACACTGTCCTAATCCATCTGGCCAGGGACATGAATCATGTCTTGGCTTAGTGTACCCATACGGCAGAATGGGATAGTATAAGCATGGGTACACCCCACATCCTCTGCAGAGATTAATATTTAGAACAAATAAGAAAAACTACTATTTCATTCCCTTAATGTTTTTAAGAAAGAGAGAGAAACCCATGGACTCAGATGTTTAAAGACATGCAAAATGTAAAATTGAAACACAATTTACATAATAATTATAAAACTTGTTAAGCTTTTAACATCAATTTAAAATAAGCACATTTCCCTTTTCTGATTTACTTACACTCTGGAGCCTGACTTCTTTGGTGTCATTTCCAAATCTATCATTTATTAGTCTGTTCTTCCTTAGGTTACTTACCTCTCTGTGCTCAGTTCCCTATTCTGTGACGGGAAATACTAGTAAGATTAAATACATTAGCATCTATAAAAGAATTAGAGCATCTCTGGCTCATAGTAAGTGCTATGTGTTAATTGCTGTTATCATTATTACTGAATATTGCAATAAACTTATTTTACACATCTAAAAAGTGCAGGCCTCTTATTCTTTGCCTAAATAACCCCATCCACACACACTTTTCCTGGCTAATCATCCTTCAAGTCTCACTCAATTTATAATAGAGAAAAGTTAGTTTCAGGGCTGAAGCCCTTCCAGAAAGCAGCTGCCAAACCAAGCAGGGCTTTACATGAACACAAGGGATTCCCTACGGATGGCTGGGAAGCACCAACATGCTTAGATTACACATTATATCCATAACATTGATAAACTCATAGCTAGGTATATCCAATTCCATTTTCATACGGGAGAAACATCCTCTCCCCCCATTTTAATTTTTTCAATTACAGTTGACATTCAGTATTATATTGGTTTTAGGCGTACAGCATAGTAGTTAGATATTTATATAATTTACAAAAGTTAAAATGATGAAGGGATTAAGAAATATAAATTGGTCAATACAAAATAATTATGGGGGTATAAAGTGCAGCTTAGGGAATACAGTACATAATATTGTGATAACTGCATGATGTCACAATAGGTGGGTGTTAGCTTTCTTGGGGGAATCACTTTGTAAACTATAGAGGAACATTCTTTGTCTGGGTCTTCCAAGATTGATTGGAAGTTACAAGAAATCCATTTCTAGTACCACCCCAGAAGCATCCTCTCACTCACTAGAACTGTCCAACATGAACAGAGGGAGATATCTACCAAAGACAAGGTCCCATGTGATTATAATCTATCTGCTTCTTGTTCCGCAGATTCCAAACCAAAAAGGGCAGACAAGGCTGTGCCAACTCCAGGGAGGCCTGGCTCCAGGTCTATGTGAGTGGCCTGGAACCTAGCTGGGCTGCGTCAGGGCCGGGCAGCAGGTCTCCAGGAAAGGTACCTGACCCTGACACTTATCACCGAGACATACCCTTCCACGTTCACAGCTCCTCTCAGTAGTCTGTTCCTTCTCTTAATTTAATCTTCATTATGTGTTGTGTTGTTTTATTGGTGTTATTTCCATAATTTATATTGGCTTTGGCAAAGGACACATATCCCCCATGAGTTTCTCTGCTATTGAGGATACATGGGTAGTGCAGTTGATTCTGTGTGTCTTCATAATAAGACTTTTTTTCTTTTTCTTTTTTAATAAAAAAAAGACAATTTATCTTTTAAATATGATTTGGTGTGAAGGGAATTGACTGGTATTATTATTACTAGGGGCAAATCACCATTTCCAAACAAAATAAGAATGAACATTTACTGAGAACTTCATTTGGGCTAAATGCTCTAAAAATACAAGCTCAATACTTTCAACAATGATTTTAATACCCATATGAAGTAGGGTCTCGTTCCTCCAATTTTACAGATGAGGCAATGGGCACAGAGGTGATGTGACTTGCTAAGGCTTATAGGTCTGTTTGGAGAGCACCATGAAAGAATGATTCAAAAGGACAGCTGTGGTGATAAGAGTCATCATCTCCACATTTGGTAGAGAAGTTGTAAATAGCAGCAGCAGTACAATATAGGGGAAAGACAAGGCATTGCACAGTCGGGAAAGTGGGTCTCTATCACTTATCAGTGAATCATTAGGAAAGTCATCTTGCCTTACTGGACTCAATTTTCACACCTGTAAAGTGGAGATAATATCCTCTTGGAAGAGTTATTATGAGGTGATGTGTGAAGCACCCATCACAGGATCTGACATCTGAAAGATTCTCTTTCCCTCTCTGAGTCTTAACTTTTTTTTACTTAAAATGGGCATGGTGTCTAACTTCCCAGTGTCATCATGTGGATCAGCTCTCTAAAGTCCAAAGCAAAGATAGAATGTTATCATGAACACAGAAGAATGAATGTCAGATTTGTTTCTGGAGTGTTGTAGGAGTAACCTAAAGCCATGTCTCCTTACTAACCCATCAGAACTCCTAGTACATGAGACAGAATTACATGCACAACCAAGTCTTGATCTACAGCATATAGAATTGTAGTCTATTAAGCTGGGAGGAACCTCTCAGAACATCTTGTCCAACATCCTCATATTATGACAGCTGAGTGCCAAGGACTGAGGAGTGGCGTAGTGAAAGTTGTGGGGCATGCTGAGGCCAGTTACTGTTTGAGAGATTTTAGAAAAGTTTGAAGCATGAGACAAGACAGACCATTCATATGGGAAAACCACTGGAAACAGCTTGGGTGGCACTGAAAGTTGAGTGGGGTGGGGATCTCAGGAAATTATCAGGGCAAGTGAACAATGCTACATTGGTTGATGGAGACACAGATATGGCCCCCCTTCTCATCTCTGGGGGAGGTGGGTCATTAAGGGAGCAATGACCTCTGCTAGCACTTCTGTCTGGAGAAAGCTATCTCCCCAGCTCTTGTCCTTATGCAGACAATTCAATTCTTACCCATTTGTCCCTGGTGCCTTTTGCACTGCTGCCCAGAGGGAGGAAATCCACACACGGGTTCTTTAAAAGGAACTTCCTGAGGTTCCAGCATACCCTGTGTCACTCAGCCTCAATCCCTGCTGGTTTTCACATCCAGAAATGATGGGGACTTGTCTTTTTGGCACTGGAACCCTGCACTGGGGCCTACTGTGGTGCCGGGACCTCTCGCTCCTCTGGGGGAGCCTCTGCAGCCAAGATATCCCTCCCAATTAAAAACTGCTCCAGCCCATTCTACATATCTACCCTCCTACCCGTCTTGACGTGGCTTCTTCTTTAAATCCCTAGCTGAAGGAATTCCAGTCAGATAGCTTTCAAGCAGTTTCAAGTAATGGTTGTTCTGTAGTTTATTTGTAATTTTGATGTGGTTGTGGGAGGAGGCGAGTACTGCATTTACCTATACCACCATTTTGACCAGAAGTCCTGACCCTCCAGAACTTTAAGAGAACAAATGTATGCTGTTTTAGGACATCAAATTTGTGGTAATTTGTTAGAGTAGCAATAGGAAACTCACACAGTTAGTTACTGGCTAAAGAATCACCAACAGTGGATCTTCCAGTTCAGTGTGAAAAATAATGGGATACTCTAGAACAGTGGTTGCCAACCTTTAAGACCTGATGAACCACCAGTGGTCTGTAGACCACCAGTTGTTTGTAGATCAACTTCTGGAAGTCAGCCTGTGTTTTTCTTGCAGTGCCTGCCTCCCCCAGTTCCCTTTCTAGATAGAAGGGAGTCTGTTTCCTCGTGCTCTGGTTTTTGTTTGTTGACAGTTGCTCTAGAAGATGAGATAAATTTTCCCCCAGTTCAAACCCAGGGTGAAGTAGACATATTCCAAGGTGATGGGCTATAATGAGGTGAGACAATCTCAAGAAGAGGGTCTGCTTCAGCAGCTAAGAATGAGGGCTGAGGCTTAACCAAGGTTACAAAACCCATCAGCCAGGTCAAGGGTAAGCCTGACTCTTCTTGACTCCTGTGGCCCTCTGAGGGTGGGAAGGACCTTGGATTCCTATCTGGAAGATTCTGTCCTCTCATTTGTCAGATGAAGTATAGAACAGAGCTGTGACCTGTCTTTGACTTTACTATTAGAGAGGGGGCAGGGTTAGGGGCTCTCCCTCACACTGGAATCTTTTTCCCCATGCCTCCCTGACCCTGAACAAATTGGGAGGAAGGAACTCAGTTCCACAGAGGCTGAATCACCAAGGAAGGTTTATAAGACCTGAATACTCTAATGAAGAAGTACTTCACCCAGAAATTATAAACAAAAGCACAGAGTCCTAGTGGTGGGGCAATGTGGGACGTCACCTGTTTCACAATATAAGATTTTGTGTTTCCTTTTTCTCTTTTCATAAAACTTCCTCTTCTTACCCTGAGCCAAGGGACCTTGTTTGTCCTTACTTGACTTTTCAGTTGACGTTTCTCTAAGTTTCCAGGAGGGACCAGAGCTAGAACAGGACATGGAACAGAGCCTATTGCTTGTGGATCAGCTTCGGGCCTGTGTTTTTCTTGGCAGTGCCTGCCTTCCCCAGTTCCCTTTCTACAATAGATAGAAGGAAGTCTGTTTCCTCATGCTCTGGTTTTTGCAAACTTTCTGTCCTCTCCCTATCTTACCCCCACCTAGAATGTTCTGTAATGTTCCCATGACAGGGCATTTTCCTCTCAGAAGGCCAGGAGCTGAGTTAGCATGCAAATTCAGCTGTAGATGGTGAAAGGAATCACAGTTCTTTCTGGTGACTGAGGCTAGCTGGCCACATGACTGTCCTGAGCTGCTTTTTTATACTCACCCTTCACAGAGCCATGGGACTTGTCCTCTCTCAATTTTCTAGTTGTCTCCACCTGTTCTCCCTTCTTAATTCCTGTCATCTTGGGTTCCACTAAATCTAAGCAAACAGAAAATGGGAAAAGGTGGAGAAATAGACAAAACTGTGACTTCATTTTTCTACTTTTTAAATAGTGTGGATGAAAAAGAGGCCATATACTAAACCTGACAAGTGCCATGGAGGCCTGCATGACGAACCTTGTAAGTTCAGAGACCCAAGTAACCACATAGAATGGTCTGAACATTAAAATTCCCAATTAAAATTGGGTCATGGCTGGTAGTCACATCCTAGACCTGTAGCTTCCTTGACAAAGGTTAATCTTTAATTGAGCCAGTCTATTGTATTTGAACAACTAAGATAACATACCTTTGAAATAACGGAGTAATTTTCTTTTCCATATTCCTCAAAGGCACAATTGCACAACCAGTGGCACCAGAGCTTGAGACCACATTGTTATCTTGTTGCCTAAATACCATCTCTATGTGCAGTAGGTGTTAACTATTCTGTACCGACCAAGGTAGCAGATGTTCTCTCTGTTTTAATTTTTATCCAATTTAAGAGATTTCTCCACTTTGCTTTCCCTCACTTCCTTATCTACCACTAATAAAGTTTATGTAACCCTCCTTATATCGCCTCCTTTTATTCTAATATATAAAATAAACAGCAAAACTGCTATTTTTTTAGAGCATTTTCTCAGTCTGTTGCTATTCTGTTTACTGACAATTGTTGTCAGTTTGGCTCAGTAAATTTATTAAAATTCTCAGCAAGTGTAGACATTTACTACAGTGTAATCGTTTCATTTAGGTTTTGCAGACTAAGGACATGTAGGGATGCCCAATATCTAGACTCAGTCTTCTTCCTTAAGGTTTTTCTTTTTCTTTTTATTGTGTTAAAACATACATAACAAAATTTACCATCATAACCATTTTTAATCATAGTTCAGTAGTATTAAACATATTTACATTGTTGTGCAACAGTCACCACCACCTATCCCCATAACTCTTTTATCTTGTAAATCTGAAACTCTATAACTGTTAAACACTAATTCCCCATTCTCTCCTCCCTTCCAGCTCCTAGCAACCAGCTTTATACTTTCTGTCTCTATGATTTGACTAAGTACTTTATATAAGTGGATTCACACAGTATTTGTCTTTTTGTGAAGGCTTATTTCACTTAGCATAATATTCTTAAGGTTCACCCATGTTGTGGCAAATTGGAGAATTTCCTTGCTTTTGAAGGCTAAATAATATCCCCTTATATGTATATACTATATTTTGCTTATCCCGTCATTGGTCAGTGGACACTTGTGTTGTTTCCAAGTTCAGCTTGTGAATAATGCTGCTATGAGCATGCGTGTACAAATAGCTCTTCAAAATCCTGCTTTCAATTTTGGGGGGTATATACACAGAAGTGGAATTGATGGGTTATATGGTAATTCTATATTTAATTTTTTTTAATATATTTTATTGATTTTTTTACAGAGAGGAAGGGAGAGATATAGAGAGCTAGAAACGTTGATGAGAGAGAAACATCGACCAGCTGCCTCTTGCACACCCCTTACTGGGGATGTGCCCGCAACCCAGGTACATGCCCCTGACCGGAATCAAACCCGGGACCCTTCAGTCCACAGACCGACGCTCTACCACTGAGCCAAACCTGTTTCGGTTCTATATTTAATTTTTTAGGAGCCTCTATACTGTTCCTCCCTTAATTTTTTTTATATATGTTTGATTGTTGCTGCAGACAACTGGATACTATCAAATGATAATATGTCATGAGAACTTGCCAAATCTGCAAATTTTTGATTGTCACTAGAGCACTAGGAATCAACTATCCATGGAGATATTTTGTTTAGTTTTTCACAAAGAAATAAAGGTTTTATCAGGTAGGCCAAGTGTTCCTCACTTCCATATGTGTGAGAGCATCTGGGGAGCTTTTTTGAACTCCACCACTGGAAGTTTCCCATTGGTGGGTCTGAGATGGAACTGAAATGTTTGCAAAGCAAGGACTTCCTCTGAATTTCAGTCCCTTGAGTCTCAGTCCCATCGACAAGGGAGTGATCCCACAAGCTTGTGAGGATTCAGTGAGATGACAGGTGTGAAGTATAGACATAGGTCATAAAGGTCAAGTGTCATATTATTGAAGGGAGGGCCCTCCTTAGCAACCTTGCATGCTTCAGCAAAACAATTATAGGCCATAATTACCCTCTGTTTTATAGTGGAAACTCCAAGTGCTAGAGCAGCAAACATCACATTATGTTGTCTTACATAATTTCCACTAATAAAATTTCTTTTCATAACTGTGGTGAAAGTTCTTTGCCCCTCCCTCCGTTCCCAAGGGGGAATATGGGAATATACACTTTGAAATATCCCATTAAAAATTAAACTTGAGGAAGCAAGATTATAAAAGCATCCGGTCAGTGTGTGAGAAACTGATGTCTCCTTCACTGCAGGAGGAAGTATAAATAGACTTGGTCGTTTTGGAGGACAATTGGCACATATTTCAACTCTACAGTGAATACATCCTTTGTATTTCCATGTTTAGGCATCTTTTCTGGGAAAATACACACAAATATAAACAAAGAAGCATGTATAAAGTATACGATGCATATAACAGCAAATTGTTTATGATACATAAACCACCTAAATGTTCAGCAATTAAAATTTGGTTAAATAAATTATGAACCACTTTTATAATGGAATATTAGGTAGTAGTTGTTTTTTAAAAAGGGGAAAGAGCCCTAATCGATTTGGTTCAATGGATAGAACGTTGGCCTGCGGACTCAAGGGTCCCAGGTTTGATTCTGATCAAGGCCATGTACCTTGGTTGCAGGCACATCCCCAGTAGGGGTGTGTGGGCAGCAGCTGATTGATGTTTATCTCTCATCGGTGTTTCTAACTCTCTCCCTCTCCCTTCCTCTCTGTAAAAAAAAAAAAATTCAATAAAATATATTTTAAAAATTAAATAAATATAAAAATAAAAGGGTGAAATACTAACATGGAAATCTCTCTATGACACAATGTTAAGTGAATAAAGCAAAACAATGTAACTTAATTTCTGCAGAAAAGGGACATATGTGTGTGTGTGTGTGTGTAAAAGCTTAGGAAAACACTTAGAAAAATACATAGTAAACACATGGAGAAATGGGGGGGGGAGAACTTTTAAAGATTATGTTAACTAAGTAATAGTAGCCATGTCTAAGTCACTTGAAGAGAGGGATTAGGGAGTGCCCCTTGCCAACAGTGCTATGGAGGGTTCTTCTGCAAATTTTTAGGGCTGTCTACTTTGGCCCCACACACTCACCATGGCTGTGCTACTCAGTAATCTGACATTGGGCCAGCCACCTTGGATTTGGATTTGGACTTGGGTTTGCTCTTTGTTGTACTCTGTGCTGCTTTGGGCCATTGATCTCCACCCTGTACTAAACTACTATGTCCTCTTCAGATACTCTGGTTTATCCTTCAGACTGAGGGGTCCTGGGTGCTTGTATCCTTTCAGCTTGATTCTGAGATGCTGGGTGTGAGCTAACTACCTGGGGTGGCCAGTCTGAGCCCTCCTCTCTTGACTTGCTTAGTGTTTCTCTGCTTATCCAGGCCTCCCTATAAGTATTCATGAGGTGCTTGTCTCAGATCTGACCACCAAGATGAAACAAGATTTCTCTTCATTCCCACGGTCATTAGAGTTTTACCTCAATACCCCCTTCTCTGAAATTCTATAATTGGGATAAGAAAGAAGGCAGGCTTCTTATTCAGGACCCTGTGCAACATTTTGTGCTTTTTTCCTGTAATTCAGCTTATTGTAGCCCTCTCTCTAGAAACCTTTCAGTGTTGAGCAGTGTAAGCTCAGAGACCCCCAACCATCAAGAACTGGCTATGTCTCTTAACTCCCAAGAGCCTTGCCAACTTGTGATCTTTGAACATTCATCTCCTTGGATGAGTGACATTAGTGATAGGTGGGTAATGTGACCTACTTAGGAGTCTCAGTCCTGGGATGGCTCCAAAACACCACATATTCACCATCCCCCCAGGAGCACATTGAATCCTCCGGGAACTGGACCTCCAGGAGAAACCAGACGGGACAACACCTAGCTTCATAGTTAAGCTCTTCCTCTGAAATTCTAAATTACACAGAGAAAATTATTGTCTTTGGCCACTGCTCCTAAAGACACCAGGAAACCAATGCCAAACTGTGATGTAGCAATGAACAAAAGGATAGAAGGTGTTCCCAAACTTCCCTGTTTGGGATTTGCATATTTGAGAAAGCATACCCTAATTAGAGAGAAACCAGTTATTAACTAGAATAGAGGATCATGTCATACTCTGCCTATTTGACTGCCCCGCCCCACATTCCTTTCTGGTACCACTGAGGGTATAAATTGTGGCTGGCTCTGTGTGCATTTACATCACAGGCCAAAATGAAGACATGCACAATCTTTGTTCTGGTGGCTTTCATCACCGTGGGGCTGGAGATGGCTTGCGCTCGGACACCTCTTCGCCAAGGTGAGGGTGCTGAGGGGTTTCCTGCCTGACATCAGAGAGGGCTCAGAGCCCAGCTTCAGGCCTGAGGATGACTTGGCATAAAAGCAGGCAGTGTGTTCACTGCAGAATGGAGATTTTGAATTGATCAGATACACATTCTCTAACTTTCAAGAGTGATCACCCTGCATTTCTATTCTTCTTATCTGCTCAGATTGGGTCTGATTAGAAGTTGGGTTTTCTCTAGATGTGCCCTGGATGTGGGACTCCAACAGGAGTGACTTCAGGATGAACATGGTGTGTGTGTGAAGTGGGAAGATGGCTGACTGTGATCAGAGATTTTTCTAATATCTTATATGGTGGAAAGAAGAGGGTTATGACAAGTGCAGGTTTCTTGTGTGCTGGGACTGTGCAGCCTTTGGAGCAGGGATAACATTCTAAGAGCATGAATGTGAAAATGGGGACTCTAGAGTAAAAGTGGAGCTGCTGAAGCTGAGGGACGGGTCCAGGAACACGAAGGAAGAAATGGAAAAGGTGGGAGTCCTACTAGTGGCAAGGCCATCTGACCTCTAACACCAATTCTCATGACTGTATAGTGACTATTCCAGATTGCACAAAAACCATTGTATGTTTCAGAGCAACAAAGACCTGGAGTCTGCCCCCAGGTACCCAAAGGAACCTTTGGGATTTGTGTTGAAAAATGCTCAGGAGATGCATCATGTCCCAAGGGAATGAAATGCTGCAGCAATGGATGTGGGCATATCTGCAAAGCTGCTCTCCCTCAAGTGAGTATAAATCGGTCAAGAGCTGTCCAGTGTACAATAACTTCCTAGTGGACTTTTCTGGGGCAGATGGGTGCTCACGTGTCCACTGCATGCAGGAGTCTGGGTAACTCCAAGAGAAGAGGTCTGGAAATAAATGGCAGAAGGACACCTGGCTGCATTATCCAAGACCCTCTCCTCGAATTGAAGCCCTATCCCTATCCCTGAGTGGCTCTCAGTGGAGACAAGTAACCATGATCCTAGGTTCTCAGGTCATTATTATCCCAGGATTTCTCACCCTCCTCCTCCTGCCCACCAAGGGGGCTTTACTCTTCCTGGAAAATGAATGATTGTGGGAAGAGGGGGAAAGGAAAGGGAACACCAATTATTGAGTATCTTCTATGTTTGTGAGGCATTGTGCTGAAGCTGAGATAAAAAGATAAACACAACCAGGTGAGGGAGACAGAACTAGGTAAATACTTACAACTGTAACCATGGCTTTGTACCAGTTTCTACTAAGGTCTGTGGGCACAAAAGGAAAGTTACTGGCTTTGCCTGGGAGGGTGGATCAGTGGGTGTTGGGAAGGTTGTAGAAGAGTAGAGAACATATAAGGACATGCTTAAAGGAGGCATAAAGTTTGCTGGAGGAAGGAAGGGAAGTTCAGATGGTGGGAGAAGTGTGAGAGATGGGAAAAGGACTGGTAGAAGTTGCAGCATTTCAGGGGCACACATCTCAGCATCTCAGTGGAGGGTCATCTAAGCCAGGGTCCAAAGAAGAGGTGCCTGTCAGCTTGGTGGACTGCTAGGGGTTTTTGAACAGAGGAAATGTCATGATCAAATTTGTATTTTAGAAGGGCGGCTTTGGTGGCCAAGTGAAAGCTGGACAAGGTGTTCATTAAGCGTGCCTGGAGACCAGCCCCAGAAGATTTCTCATGAATCTGATGCTTGGCTATCAAGACTCTTCCACAAACCATTCCTGGCTATTCTCTATCCCTGGACTTGCAGCCCTAGAAGATAAAGATCTAAAGTGGTGGAGTGACCACTTCTAAAGAGCTTATGTCCAGAATAAACCTTATCTGTGCACGATTCAGGCTGTGTCATTCTTCCCACTTAGGCATTCTAGTGGAGCCTCAGTAGATCAGCAGGACCATGTGTGCCCTGCACTGAGCCCATGAATGCAAGGCACTAATGAAAGATCAAAGGCAAGGTCCTCCCAGCTAGTTTCTTTCCTCCTTCCATGGCCATGTCTCTAAACAGGGCAAAGAGCATAATCTTTTCTCAATCATTCTGTGAATAAAAATGACATTCTAGCACGTAGCAAGCCTTTTGGAGCAGCCTTTATAAGGGAAAGACTCAAGAGCAGGAGCAGAAGCAAGTGTGGGAATACCCTATTCTAAGGAAGCATACTGACATCTATCTAGCAGGACTGGATGCCTAACTCCAGGAGAGCAACCCCAGCCCTTGGGATGTAGGACTTTGAGTGGCATAGACTGGGAGTACCAGCTCCTGTCTTGGAGTGACTAGGAGTTAGAATACAGTTAGGATATAGGCTCTGTGGGTGGAGTCTTTGATTCAGAGTTTTCCTGAGGCAGAGGATAAACATAGGTCTCCCAAAGAAGCCTTGACAAAAACTATGGTCTGAGCTGACCACTACAAGCTCAATCTCTCAGCGCTCTCTGTGCGCTTTCTAACCTTGATTCCCCCCACTTAGCCTGCCGAGTTTGGACTCCCTTATCAACTTGTCCCTGTCCATCACACTGCTGTTACTTCTCATATAGCACCTCTTATAACCCCAGTGGCCCATGGCCTCACCAGTCTGTACATTGGAATGAGCATATTAGCATCAATATCGTCTTTTACTGGCTGGTCATCTACATCCCAAACCTCAGCATGCTTTATTAGTCACTCTTGGTCACTTATGGGGGTTCACAGACCCCTCTAACATGCTCTCAAACAAGTTCACCTGTTGTCTGCCATTCTGAATGCCAAAGATACTTGAGGAAGGCATCCTACAACTTCCACTCAAGTTTCTGCCCTTTAAATTCCTAAAATCCCTAGAAAGTTGTTTGTGCTCTTTTGGGAGCTGCTCATTTTATTCTCCACCTGCATTCCAATCCCCTTTAATATTTTGGAGAAAACTCTTATTTCTCCCTATGAAAATTGACAAGGGCCAGAAAATCTCACCCTGCTTCCTATCAGGATTTGGAATCAGGAGTGACACTTACGACTTAGGAATTGTCAAAAACCAATTCACAACAGCAGAGGTGCCAGTGACAGCATCCTAACCAGATTTGCCACGGGCTGGACTTGGCTATGTCCTCTTCTACATGCTATATTTAGGTTCTTGATATTTTTCCCAAGCCTGGTTCACCAGTCTTTCCTACTGTTTCTGTGCACTGTGTAATATTGTCTTCTCAAAATTCATGCTCTCTCAAATTGGACAGAATTGGCTTTTTTGTTTGCATCCAAGAACATTAACTTGTACAGAAATTGGTGTCAGGAGTGGACACAGGCCAAAAATACTTAGGGAGATGGCAGGAGTCTGGGTTTTAGGAACTGGACTAGTTAGAAGCCCCTTTGTTCACATGCCTATGCTCTCTTATTCACATGAGAGGCCCCATCTCCTTGAGAACTTGGATAGTTTCTGTTTTGGGGAGCCACCTCCATAGTTGGCAGAGCTACAAACGGAACCCTGGGTTGCTCACAGCCTGTGTTTCTCTACATGTGACCTCTGGCTAAGCACCCCTCACCCTGTGGCCATTTGCTCTAATGGGCTCCTCCCTTCCCCCTACACCTCCTCTCCTTCCTCCAGTGGACAGGGGTCTTGCCATTGCACCTGTGTCTCTGGGTGGCTGCTGGGTACTGCCTGGTACAAGTTCCTAATGCTACCCCACCTCTGGCAACATTTCTCATCCCTGGAAACCCCATTCAGTGCTCCCCTGCAGCTCCAGGGACCTGCTAAGTCTGGCCCCAAGCCTGTCACTAATCCCCCAAGTCCTGCCTGCAGCCCCAGGATCCTCAGAGCAGGAGGAATGACCCCTTAGACCAGGGGTCTGCAACCTTTAAGACAAAAAGAGCCACTTGGACCCATTTCCGAAGGAAGAAAAGAAACCTGGGAGCCGCAAAACCATTGCGACATTTAAAACAAATATAACACTGCATATATTGTTTCTTACCTTAATGCTATATACCGGATCATGCAGTTAGCTGTCAATCTGAAGAAAAAAAGGACTTTTTCACTTAACAATGTAAAATATATTTTTGCAAATTAATAGCTAATTAAAATATTTAATTTACCTGGTTAATGGGATTTTTGCTCCTGAACCTCAGTGCACAGTGTCAGCACATCAGGGCTGTAAGATGTTACCTTCATTTTCACACAGGCTTGCCAGTTGTCGGAGCCGCGGTAAAGCTTCAAAGAGCCGCATGCGGCTCTGGAGCCGCAGGTTGCTGACACCTGCCTTAGACAGAGTGGTGCAGACACCAGGTGAGTACTCTGCCCCATCTGGGGTAATCATGTGGCCCCGCCTCCTAGTTCACATGCCCATTAATGCTTGGTCACGTGGCCCCGCCCCCTTATTCATGTGCCCACTTCTGCTTGATCAAACCAGTCTGGGAGGGGCCGGTGGGTTGACCCCTTATACAGAGGGGTGCAGACACCAGGTGGGCACTCCCCCTTGCTCCCCTCTCCCGCCCCTCAGAAAAGCAAGTCTGTGCTGACATTCAGCTCCTCCAGGGCTTGGCCTACACAGTGCAGCCACCAAAGGGGACCCATCTGCAGAGTGGCAGGAGGAACAGGCCTCCCAGGGCAGCTGGATGCCCACCTGACCCCAAAGCCATTCTTCAGCCTCCCACTTAACCTTCTGAAGGGTAACCAGGTGTGGTTCCCCCCGGCCCAGCTACCTACCTTGGGAGGCGGTAGAGGATGTCATCCTCCGGTGGCCCATTCCTGTTACTACAGAAGGTAAAGGTCATCCCTGCCGCCCAGCCCAGCACATCATTCCCATTTCATAGGCCAGAACCAGGCCTCAGCACTTCCCTCAGACGGGATGGAGCAGAGCTAGATTGGGAATAAGAATGGTCTCTGCAGCTGATTGTGTGTGGTCCCCATGTTCTCGAGCCCAGAAGGCTCCAGGGACCTCTGTGCATTTGTAACTGTGGCTACGTCACTGTATTTCCCTCCTGTCCACCTGCCTCGTATCCTGAACACTGCAGGCTCAAGTTGCTCCACCTTCCTCTCCTCAGTCCACACCTCCAGTCTACTCGATTCAACGGGCTCCCCTCAGGTTCAATGTGCCTCTTGCCTCAATTCCTGCTGTGCCCACATCTACTTTCACTGTTAAATTAAGATTTATTTCTGTTACTGTATTTAATGTTTTTTATTTACTATATTTTTATTGCTTTTTTGTTTTTCTTTATCATTTCCATTAGCTAGATTAAGTTTTCTTCTGCTGATTTGAAAGTCATAATTCTCTTTATTCTTCTAGAATTTACCCACGTGGATTTTTAAGGCATGTTAATATTTTCACCTTTTCCAGAACAAGGAAATTAGTGTGCCCTCATTTCTCTTTGGACATGCACTCTGCAACCCCATCCCACTTGGTAGCCAAATAGATATGTCATATAGAATTTTAGTTCTTGATTTCATGTTTGTATTTTTAAAAAGTTGTTTGTTTTTGTAATAATCAAATGTATCAGGTTATAAACCCACCCTTACTTCCTATGTATTTGTATCCTCCTGGTCCCCTCCCCCTTTCTGCTGGAATGTTTTCCCCAAGAGTGTTTTCGAAAAAGGTCTTTTTGGCTTTGGATGCCTGAAGATATCTTTGTTTTGTACTCACATTTAAACTATAGTTTACCTACATATACCATTCTAGGTTTAAATGTTTTCTTTAACATTTAGACTATTTCTTCATTATCTTCCCGGTTAGAAATGCTGCTGAGAACTCTGAAATTAACCTGATTCATTTATAAGTAGTCTTGTCTTTCTCTCTGAAACTTATAAAATTTGCTATTTTAAAATTGCGGTTATATTTCTTTGTATGTGTTCATGTGTGACATTCATTCACTTATTCACTCATTCATTCTACTGACACTTTATCAGCCTTCAAACTAGGATTTCCCCCCCCCCCCCTTGCAGCCCCATGGTCCCACTGGCTCAAGCATAGCTATAGGGAGTGGGGACAAATCCAGGTTATAGTCCCCTCGTCAGGTGGATCTCCATCTCCTCTGCCAACCACAGACTGTTACTGAGTTGAATTTTCTACTCCAGTCTCGTCTTCCCCTCAGGGTGAGTTTGTCCAAGACTATTCCTCACTCTTTCAAGGCTCCAGGACACTGGAAGAGCCACTTGACTGGTCCTACAGGCTCCTCCAGTGCTCTCCTGTGAGTTGGTTTACAGGAACCGGGTGGGGACAGCTTGCCAGTAAGTCTGCTATACTCATGTCCAAGGCAGAGGCGGAGGAACTGGCTTTCCCCTGTCTTTAGCCAGGATCTCACAGGACTTCTGAGTCCTGGGAAGAGAGGCAGTCTCTCATTGCTGTCCAGACGTGTGTGACCACGTGTGAGCAGGTGAGGACTAGTGGAAACATGGCACCATCTTGGCCACATGCACACTGACAGCAGGGTAGTGATAGGCCTCCAGGTTTAAGAGGCTTTGCCGAGAGCAGACCGCTCCACAGAAGCCAAATGAGAAGGACCTGTGTGAAAATACTAGTATGTGAGCAAGACTAATCCATTGCAAGTATACAACTCAGAGATTTTTTTAGTAAATGTGTTCAGCAGGGCAACCATTGCCATATTTCAGTGTTCCATATTTCCATTACCCCTGAGTTCCTCTGCCCATTTACAGTTCACCTTGCTTCCACCTCCAGCTCTAAGCAACCACTTACTTGAACTTTCTCTTTATAAACTTGCTTTTCCTAAACATTTAAGCATATATTCTTTGGTTACTAAATAATATTCCATTTTATGGATATCATTGGCTGCTTTTTATTTACCAAGCATAGAAAAGATTCTAGTTGCATTATCCTTATGTGCTTATTCCTCTGAGACTATCCTATTAAATACATTAATATATTTTGTAGTTATATGTATTACTTACAAATTTAATAACTTTTTGGTTCTCTTGTAGTCTTCTGGCAAACCTTGCAGCACATCTGGCATACCCCAATTGTGTAGGTAAGTTACAGCAACATAGTGCATAGCCAGCAGATGGAGACAGAGAACACCAAATATTCAGACTCACGTTTTTTTACCTATGCTGTTTCTCAGTCTCAGGATATCAGGCTTCATTCATTGTAGCTTTGGTTCTCAAACCTGACTATGCATTGTAATTACCTATGCAACTTTAAAAAAATTACAGATTCTGAGTTTAGTGGTCTGAGATGCAGTCTTGCCATCGAGATATCTAAAATCTGCACAAGTGCTTGTAATTACAGCAAAGTTTGAGTCTCACTACTTTAGAACGGAGAACAATGGATCTTGAGCTGGAGAACTTGTGAAAAACAGAGACCCTAACTGTCATAGTTTTCATCCTTTTGAGAACCTGTGCATGCTGAAATGGCCAGGTATTAAGCTTAAGATAGTTAAACATGTAATCAGGACTAAATCTGATACCTTCTCATGTTAGACTCTAAGAGTAACTTTAAGGCATCAGCTGATTGAGAAAATTTCATAGGAGAAAAATTTCAATTAATAAAATGCTATTATCATTATTTTTATTGTATCAACTCACCACACTGTATTACAACTGCCTGTTTAGTGGCTGTCTCCCTGCCAGACCCTGAGCCCTTGGAGAGTTAGCATTGAGTCTTATTAACCTTTCGATTTCCCCTATCTAGCACCAGCCAGACACACAGCAGGTTCTCAGCAAGCGTCTGTTGAATGAATTGTGAAGATATTAAATATCCCCATTTTATAGATGAGAAAGATGAGAATAATGACTTGTCCTAGGTGATACTACTGGTCAGGGGCAGAGCAGGAATTGAATCCAAATCTTGGACTCCTTTCTCCAGTGCTGTTCCCTTTATACTGCTGCTACCATCAGTCTGTCGAGGCCAGATATAGAAGAAGTCAGAATACAAAGAGGAGTTCTCTTCCTGCTTGTGTGGTTTTGTTTTTGCTCTTTTGACTCTGGTCTTCCCAACTATGGTTTTCCTAGTAACTGAGGGCCGAGGGGAAGATTTCACACAGCCTTGCTCTCAGGTGGGACAACTGTGACATCAGAGCTGACAGCAGCCTTCAGGATCATCCAGTCCACCCCATCCCACTCCTTTACCTCAAGGGAAACCAAGAGTCTTAGAGAGGGAGTGAGCCAACCACAGTCACATGGTAACAGCAGCGCTGGACTCCCTTTACAGTGCTCTTTTTATTCATAGGAGGTAACATGGCCTCAGCGTGGTCAGAGCAGCAGAGAGGAGCCAGTTACTCAGAGGGCAGATGCTTCATGGAAGCCTCCAGCACAAGCAGTCGACCCTAAAGCCTCCAACAGGTACCCCAGAAATAGCGTGGCCCTTGCTGGGAGGGGAGGGAGAGGAAATTTCAGCAGGCAGAGGACATGTAGTCTGGGCCCCACCCAGAGGGACCTTTTATATTGTAGTTTACTAGAGGCCTGGTGCACAAATTCTTGCACCAGTGGGGTCCCTCGGCCTGGCCTGCAGGATCAGGCCAAAACCAGCTCTCCAACATCCCCCAAGAGGCCCCAGATTGTGAGAGGGCGCAGGCCAGGCCGAGGGACCCCACCAGTGCACAGTTGGGGCCAGGGAGGGATGCAGGAGGTTGGCCAGCTGGGGAGGGACTGTGGGAGGGCTCCAGGGCATCAGTTTCATTCATCCATCAGTGCCAATCAGCCAGACCCCAGCAGCGAGCTAACCTACTAGTCAGAGCATCTGCCCCCTGGTGGTCAGTGCAAATCACAGCAAGCAGTTGAGTGACCTTAGCATATCATTAGCATATTATGCTTTGATTGGTTGAATGGCTGACTGGTCAACCGGACACTTAACATATTAGGCTTTTTTTTATATAGGATGCTCTTTGCCAACTGCTGACATGCCATGTACTTTATAGCTTTTTTAAGAGGGTAATTACCTTCCCAAGCCTGGAGGTCTATGGCTACAGAAGGGACACGGAACATTTCCTCCCACTTGCACCCTTTGAATGTGAATTCATATGATTTAACTTTGGGTTAGTGCACTTGCCTGGAGTTGCAGCAGGACTGTCCCACCAGGTCCACTCTTTTCTGTCAACACCTGCTGGCACCCAGGGCACAGCTAGAGAAGTGAAATTCTTAGGCCTCTGAGATGGGAAAATACAATTAGATGTCACTGTGGTATGGAAGATGTCACCGTGGAATGGAAGTGTGTGTGAAACTCATTGGTCCAGGTAGGGGTGGGGAGCAGGGCCTGCTGGCTGCCCCCAGGGTATCAGTTTAGACTCAGGCGAGAATAGTGGGCAGTTGGTAGCACTGCCTGCCCCTACATAGACCAGCAAACTTTTACTCTTCATGCCTTCATTCATCATCTTTCACACCAACAGCAAATACCACCTACACTGTGTCAGGCAACTACATGTTGATGATAGTATTCTGGCCCTGGCCTTGAGAAGCTCACAAATGACCTTTAATTTTACCTGACATTTTAAAATAAATCATAAGCTTCTGATTGTGCTTATTTCTGGGGTTCTACACAGAAGTGATTGCTGTTGTTTGCCCATGCAAACTGCAGTGTGTGTGTGTGTGTGTGTGTGTGTGTGTGTGTGTAGGGAAGCAGCCAGTGCACAGGGTAGTCACTGCACAGCTCAGGTGCTACCTCCTCCAAGAAGCCTTCCTTAACCTGTTCTGCATCCCGTCAAAGTGTGTTCTTTGGAACATCAGTCCCCTGAGGTGTGTGAGAAAGGGTTTCATTGTCAAGTGAGTTTGGCAGATGCTGAATATCACTTCCCCACCTTGGGGGTTTTTGAATAACATTAGACTAAGCAAACAGAAAACTGTAAAATAATTCCTTTAACTTTGAATCACACAGCCTTTTCCAAGCATCCAAATTCTTTTTGCAATGCTAGTGTGTTGCGTGCATCCTGTGGAGCGTGTTCTGTGTAACTCGATGTGTAGGCTGTTTCAGAGGATTACATGAGATGCTAAACACATGATGCCCAGCACACACATCGTGGACACGTGAGTGCCTTTTGCACTTCTCTAAAGCTAGCAGTGTTTATTCGAGCCTTTCCTGGCTCAGCTACTAAAAAGCATTGTAGACTGTTGGGACAAGAAATTTTCCAGAAACTGGTTTGGCTCAGTGGATAGAGTGTCGGTCTGCGGACTGAAAGGTCCCAGGTTCAATTCCGGTCAAGGGCATGTACCTTGAGTGTCAGCACATCCCCAGTAGGGGGTGTGCAAGAGACAGCTGATCGATGTTTTTCTTTCATCCATGTTTCTAACTATCTCTCTCCCTTCCTCTCTGTAAAAAATCAATAAAAAATATTTTTTTAAAAGAAATTTTCCAGAAAACTCTTGTCGATTCCTTTCCAGGAAAGGAGGATCACATAAGGTGGAATTAAAGAAGCGTATACTTTGGAAGCTGAAAAGTGGCCCTGGTGAGCCTAGATATGAGAGAATAATTGATTGGCTGCCTCTTCCACTCCCCCTACTGGGGATCGAGCCCATAACACGGGCCTGAGCCCTTGAGCAGAATAGAACCTAGAACCTTCAATCCACAGGCAAGGGTTGAGGCTTTGAATTTAAAGTGTGAGCCACCAGCGTGGTTGTGAGTTTTTCTCGAACCTCATGCAGCTGCACAGGGTTAGGCACCAAGTAAGTGAAAGTTAGCTCTAACCCGGTGGTGGTTTTGCCAAAGGATTATGATGAAGTGAAGAGGGGGAGTTGAGGGTATGCAAGAAAGTGACCAAGATGAGGTGTCATAGGATTTAAAAATGAACTTTATTTGAAAACTACACAAAATGAATGTTGAAACCAGGTTGTGATGCCTGTTCAGGTTGAAATGACAATATTGTCATCTTTGTACCGAAGCTGCCTTAGGAGTGTGTGCCTGGGCTGGTTCAGCCTGTCGACACAGGAGGTTCTCCTTGACTTACCTTGTTGTTTGAGCCAGTGCTCGACCTGAGAGCCTCAGATGTTCCTTCCTCCGGAAGGAGGCTTTTGAGACAAATCTCAGGGTCAGTCCAAAGCTCAGGAGCTGCAACTCAACTTGTAAACCCCTTTTATAGCATTACTTGCATAAGTAAATAGTTGGCTTCCTATTTCAGGAAGGGATGTATTTGTTCTCAAGGCTGCCTTGTGTCCTGGGCACCCACTGGGGTCCTGGAAAGCAGCCACTCCTCTCCTGACATCGTTTTGAAATAGCCAGGGCGGTTTGCACTCTCCAACCACAAGATGCAAGAGTGCACTGAATTCGGCTGAAACATAAGCCGCACTGCTTCCTCTCTCGGTTTGGTTGTCTGTCCATCCCCTAACTTCTCACAGCACTTCCTGAGAATCTGGCCTCCTTGCCACTCACTGTAGGGGCCCATGCATGATACGCCTTACTTGGTTTTCATTCATGTCAGCGGTGGTAATGATTAAGTGCAAACACCCCACCCATTCACATGTCTCCTTTTTTCCCTGCAGATCCCCATTGTGAAAGTGTGAATGCTTTCCAGAATTTCTTCCAGAGCTTGTACCTAGAGCACAGGTGAGGTAAAAGGGTAGAAAGTAAATTCTTTGTTGTCGTTGTTGTTGTTGTTAATCCTCACCCAAAGACATTTTTCCATTGATTTTTAGAGAGTGGAAAGGAGGAGAGAGCACAGAGAAAGGAACATAGATGTGAGAGAGATACACTGATTGTTTGCCTCTGACATGAGCCCTGACCAGGGCCGGGGATCAAGCCTGCAACTGAGATATGTGCCATTGACTGGAATTGAACACAGGACCTTTCAGTCCGAGGGCCAACATTCTATTCACTGAGCCAGACTGGTTAGCAGGAAAATAAGTCCTTTTGACATGAATCCCACCTTCACCCACTCCGCACTTCAGATGTCAACCTCTACCCTACTCAGATGCTGCAGTCCTTGGAAAAACCCAGAACAGAAACTTCCCTACCTAGTGAAGGTATAAAAAAAACAAATATATGCATATATTAAATACGTATCAAGATGTACACTTCAAATGTGTACTCTTTATGTAGGTAAATTATAATCCAACAGAAATTCTTTAAATAAAGCAGAATTCTGGATTATGTTCTAACTAGCATAGGAAGTAGGGATGGAAGCCAGCAAGAATGCGGTTACCCACATTCAGATCCCAATGTTCTGGGTTGCCTTTGACAAGAGGACATCAGAATAGTGATGAGTGATTGCCAGCTGTTGTTTCCCAAAGAGAACAATACAAGGTAAGGTACCCCACCCCCCTACTCTTGCCCTCACATTCTCAATTCCTACAAGAGAGTTAAGAAAGAAAAACCCAGGAAATCCCAAATGTGAATACCTCCCCAGATAAGACAGAAGTGGAAGAAAACCAAACTTTTCAAAGTAAGCATTTTGATCTTCATGCAAACATGGAGTTAATCTCAGGACAGCTAAGCACAATTACACAGATGAATTCATTGTGTGAAATGGTCATTGAGCGTAGAGAATGTTAGTGCCAGTTCAGAGTCCAAGCTCTGCAGGGGTCATACCTGAATCTGCTGAGTTGAGCACATGGAAACCTCAGTGTGCATTCAGGCTTGACCATTGTTTTTTCATTTATTTCAGAGTTGCTCACTGGAGTGGCTTCAGGAAATGCAAATCGAATGTCTGTAGTGGTATTTAAAGACATGAAAGGTTTCGGTGTGTGTTAAACTAAATGTCCTTTAGGATGTATTTTACATGTTACTGATAATGTTCTTAAGATAATGGTATAATTTTTGTAATTCTTTGCCCTTCAAATCAGCTTCTATTTGTACAGAAAGGATACAAGCATTAGTTGGGGGACCATGGCAACCAGGTTCTAGCTGTCATTCCATCTCAAATTCTCTGGGAGTCCTGGTTACTTCCTTCCTTGACTCTGGGCCTCCACATTGGAAAGTGAGTTTGGACCACACGGTCCAGCTCTCTAGTTCTGAGGCTGCAAAACTCAGTGGAGTTTGGAAATACCACTTCCCTTCCAGGATTTTATTATAAGCAAATCGGAGATGTTTCTACCTTGTAAAATGCATAGGACTCTACAGATGGTTTGGCCTACCAAACCCACAAACCTAGGGCCACAGTTGGAGAGAACTCCAGTCTTTGTTTTAACTAGTTGTCCCTGTTCCAACCAAGAGAAATATTTAAACTCATCAAGTATCATTGGCCATGATGAATGTGTGAAATTCAGCACTACACAGAGAAATCTCTTCGTGTTTACAACCATAACATATTTGCCCTGAAAGAGTCCTAAACAAAGTAGGCCCAGAGAAGTCAAGCAACTTGCCCAAGATCACAGAGGCAGCAAGAGGGAATGGGGACCAAAATGTATGTTCTCTCTTCCAGCCTGGTCAGAACTGCTACATGCGCCCCTCAGAGTTGGAAAAGCTCACCTTTCGGATTTGTCTTTCCATATTTACCTATATCCTTCTCAGGAAATAGAAATGTTGAATTTTATTCTCTTAGAGTTAGATCTTATTGAGGTTTACTAGAGAAACAATTATTGATGGAAAACTCACAGTTGCCTAATCTCTAGGACAGTTTCACAAAAGAAATGATGAAGGGTCTTTGCCTCTTCATCATCAGCAGAGTGACCAGGAGGCAAGAGAAGGAAAGGGGGTTCCCAGACTCCCTAGGAACTGAGCTGGAGCAGCCTCAGCTGGATAGGTCTGTGTTGTCTTTCTAAATTTGAATCAGAGCAGGGTCCTGGTGTGCTGATGGAGCTTGGGCCTATGGAAAACAAGGTGGTTTTGGAGTAAGAAAATGACAAAACAAATCTGAGTATGTTCCTGACCTTGCATCTTGGGGGAAGGTATTCTCATTGCTAGCATTCTCAAATGCCTGAGCCCCATTCACTTGTTACCCAAAGTCAGACCTTATACACAAGGTGCCACACTTGTGCTCCAATGCACTTGCATTCGGGGGTCATGTCTATACGTCTCCTAGGGAGGCAAGGCACAGAACTGTCAGCTGAAGCTAAGGGAAGTGAGCATGGCATGGTGGAAATGGTGAGGAACCAGAAGAGCCAAGTTCATTATCACCCTGCTGTACGGCTCTGGGCAGGACCCATATCTTCTCTGTTTCCTCACTGTGGGAAGGGGGGAATTCCATCTCCTGAAGGCACTGTTGAGGGGATTGAAGGAGTAGAGAGCTCTATAGTTCTCTTCCTCTACCCCCTTCCTTAGCAGGATCTACATGAGAGGTGCTACCATGTACCGGCCACCTACTAGGTGCCAGGCACCTACCAGCTCATCATCACCTTTGAAAGTGTTTTCACAAATGTCAGCTGTGGAAAGATATGGTACTCAAGGTAGGATGTCACTTTGACACTCAATTCTCACTCACCTCAAACCAACTGTTGCGGCTGTTTGTGAAAGTGATATGGCTTGTGGCTCACTTGTGTATTCTCTGGTATCTTCCACTGGAGATGGAAGAGCTTCCACCCTCCCTTTCTTCCATTCCCAGTCCCACTCTACTGTCAGTATCATCTCTTTGTAGTTGACACTGACCTCAGAACCCTCTTATGTGGAAAAGGCAGCTTCCCACAAGTGAAAGGGGAGGGCCCACAGTGGCCTTGGCGAGACACTGGCTTCCAGCCCTCCATGCCCCTTCTCAGCTTCCCCAACACACAGCCACCCGTTTAGCTCATATTATCTTCATCCTGGACATTGTTGGCCCCCCACAAAGTTCCAATGCAGAAGGAAGCACCTGTGAGGTATCAACTTGGCTCTGCCAGTCACCTGGAAGCCAAAAGTATCCCAATGTCAGCAGCTCAAAGCAAATCAGCCCCAAAAGCCTCCCTGCGCCTCATCTGAACACAGTCTCCGCTTTCAACCTTATGCCAGGTCTAGGGCTCCTCAGCCAGCGTGTGTGTGTGTGTGTGTGTGTGTGTGTGAATTACCATATGAAAGAACTCTCTTGGATCACATTGAAAAGAATCCTCTTTCTAATTCAGACAAGAAAAACACCTTATTCTCCAGAGAGCACACATAAATTCCTCTCTAAATGTCCGAACAGATTTGTGCCCATAGAAGACATTATCTCCTTTAGAATAAAGAAATCTCTCAGCTCTGAGGAAGAACCAAGAAGCCCAAGTTTTTTGCTGGGGACAGCAGCAGGGCCACCATAGAGGTTGTCCTAGTTGTTCACGGCACAAGGGTGCTTGGTTTACTGGGGCTGAGGGTTTGAAGAGGGTGGCTTCAATCCAACCTGCCCACTAGCTGAGCCGTGTGCTCAGTGGGAGATAATTTCAGTTCAAAGGGAGGTGCACCTTTCTGTAATTCAGCAACACCCCTGTGTATGCTAGCAGGCAGCTCCCAGCCAGGAGAAATAGGTCTTTGCTCACAAACACATCGTCTCCCAAAGGCTCATGGCAAGAGCAGATAGCAGAAAAGCAGAAGTGGAGGCTGGGTCATGGCGGGTGTGAGAAGCTGCTCTTAGAGACCATCTGGTGTCGGGAGGGGCTTATGCCCAACGGCTCCCAGTTGGCTTCCAAGGCTGCTCAGTTGGAGAAGAACCCAGTAAGAGACGCCTCCTCGCTCTCCCTGTCCTTCACTGTTCTCCATTAAGGCTCAGGCTGGCCTTCCCTGACCTCCCCGCCTTCCCCTTCCCTATTATGGGTTCTCAAAGCAGCTCTGCTTTTCCTTTATAACTGGCATGCTGCCCTTTGCAGTAATATGTGTGTGGGTCCTTTGATTCCTGTCCACCTCCCCTGTGAGACTGTAAGCTGTCTGAGGGGATTCTATGTTGGGTTTTGCACAGCGTCCGGGGCGCAAAGCGGGAGCTATGAATGGATGGAAATGGTGAGAATGGAAGGGCATGGGTCTTGCACTTCAGCATCCCTTCCTGGGTCTGACAAAACACACTAGTAAAAGCACAGCTTCCCAATTCGCCCGAGGAGTCTAGAATTTGTATTTTTACCAGGTTGTCCAAGTGATGCTAAACCACCTATCAGGACTAAGAACCCCACAGACTGTTGCAATGGATGTAGGAACCTTAGTCACCAAACACAGGGAGCCTGAGGTCCAACCTGGCATCTCTGGGAGGCCTTCTGGTGGAAATGACGCCTCAGCCAGGGCTCAGTGGCAGTGTGATGTGAAGACAGGAAAGAAGGGCATTCTGGGTCAAATGAACAAAAAATGAGAGGACACACGTGGGGTACATTATGGAACAGAGCAGTGGGACCGAATCAAAATGATAGCAATTGAACCCCTGGTAGTAGATCAAGTGTAAGTCATCATTTAACTGGGCTTCCAGAACTCTTTGGGGCAGGAAATCCACATTTCAGCCACCCACAGAGGAGTCCCTCTATACCCCCATTTGCTATGCAGGGCTCATTCCTGTTTTTGTTTCCATTTACCTCTCTTTCTCTAATGAAACTGTGACCTCACTAATAGCCTCTGAGCCCAGTGTCTTCAGGGCAGTATTGCCGCTCCGGACACCCAGATGGTCTCCAAGACCCACCCACGACCCAGCCTTCACTTCTATTGTACTTTTCTGCTCTCCGCTCTGGCCAGGAGTCTTTGGGAGATGATGTGTTTTCAAGCAGAGGAAAGACATTCCTCCGTGCTGGGGGCTGCCTGCTCGCATACACAGGGCCTTGATAAACAGGCGTGATTTAAGAATTCCAAACCATCCTGGATGGAAAGAAGAGGTGATAACGCTGCAAAATGGTAGGAGCATCCACAGCCAGGGTGTCAGGCCATGCTCATCACTGTGGCAGGAATGGGCCTTTTTACTCCACTTAAAAGCAATGTCGGGAGCATAAAGGTCAGGGTGCACCTCATGTTTTACTTCATCTTTATTGGGCTCAGAATGGGGAGAAGGAGGGAGGGGGCGGAGAATGGGGTCTAAGGTTGGGAATAATGATGCCTGTGGATGGGAGGGCAGATCCTCAGAGATCTGCCTTGGCTGGAGTGGGAACTGTCCACAAGCTCGTGAAGGGAAGGCCGCTCTCCCACACCCGCTCCTGTCCATCCTTCTCCATCTTCCATTGCCTCTGTCCCTGCCTCCCCTCCCCGCCCTTCCCCTCCTGCACTGCTGGCCAGGGTGCTCCAGCTAGTTGGCAGACGATCCTCTTCACCAGACTTTTTAAGCTGGACAGGTTTTCTAAGACCAGCGAATATGCCTCGGAGAGGAAGGGAGAGTCCTCAGCAATATTCCTCTTTTTGGACCAGGAGGCCTCTAGGAACCAATGTGGGCCTCCAGTTCTCAGCCTCTGCACCCAGCTGCAGGCCCAGGCGCCCTCTGAGCAATGCCCCGTGCCACAGTTCAGTGCCACCCCACCGAAGCCTGAACTATCTTGTCTGCTGTCCAGTTACAAATTAATCTCTTGTCATCAGTGATTAACTTCTTCGAGCCACAGGAGCTGCTGAACCAAAACAGCCCCTTGGGGTGAGAGAGTCTGCAGGTCCGTGCGTGCGGTGTGTGGATCTGCCTGTGACCCTCGTCTCTCTGGCCCCTGTGCTGTGTCAGCAAGGGAGCAGGGTCGGCCGGGACAGGGCCCTGCTCTGGGCACGGCCTCTCGGAATGCTTGCTGGGCTCCTCAAGGTGGAGACCCACACAGCAATGGCCTAGGCTTTGTTTCTTTAGTGTGTGTGTGTCTGCAAGGGAGGTTGTTAAAATGGGATTGGGGCGGGTGTGTTCTCGGGAGGCCTCTGTCACCTGAATACAACAGCTGGGCTGGTAAGGAAGGGAGGGGAGTCAAGCTTTGGGGCTTGCTGGATGTTGAGGGGACTGAGGACTGTCTCTGAGAGCATCTGTCCGCAGGGGATGAGGCCTGGGAGACATCGATGCCAACTCCCTATAGACGCCAAGGAAGGGGGCCTGATCACTACAGCCACACTGGGAGCCAGCGGGAGAGAAGGGCAGAGGTCAGGTTGTGTTTATATGTCAGGCAAAAGGCTCATTCTTTTCGCCACCACGGAGACAGGCAGCACAGCTCTCTTTGGAGAAAGGGCCCAGGGAATCCCGCCTCACACCACATCTGCCACACGAGGTTCTTAAAAATAAAATTCCTGAAAAAGTCCTGGCAGATTTAGTCTCACTTCTTCATTCTAGGGCTCCTCACAGCAATTCCTTCAAAAACTCCACAGAGGGACACTGGCCAGCCCACCTCAAAACTGCCAAGGTCCCGAAGCCGGTTTGGCTTAGTGGTAGAGCGTCGGACTGTGGACTGAAAGGTCCCAGGTTTGATTCCTGTCAAGGGCATGTACATTGGTTGCGGGCACATCCCCAGTAGGGGGTGTGCAAGAAGCAGCTGGTCGATGTTTCTCTCTCATCGACGTTTCTAGCTCTCTATCTCTCTCCCTTCCTCTCTGTAAAATATAAAAAACAACAAAAAAAAACTGCCAAGGTCATCAGAAACCAGGGGAACCCGAGAAACCCTCACAGCTCAGAGGAGCCTGAGGAGACCAATGACTGAACACAAGGAATCCTGGGTAAGATCCTGGAACAGGAAAAGGCCATTGTGGAAAAACAAGTTAAATCTGGATAAAATGGACAGTTTAGTTTATAGTAATGTAACAATTTGTTCCGTAGTTGGAACAAATGTACCATACATAGTATGTCTGGTTTTAACAATAGAGGAAATTAGGTGATGGGTATATTGGAATTCTGTACAATCTTTGCAACTTCTCTGTAAATCTAAAACTATTTTAAAATAAAGCATTTATTTAAAAATTTAAAAAATATTGTCTTTCAATTTCCTGATACTGGAATCTTTTATCAGATGTTTAGTTACAGTGTTCATAATGTGTTAGGTGTGGAATAATAAGTACTGGTGGATAAGAAGGAGGGAGGAAGACACTGAGGCACAAAATACAAAAGTGAATGTAACAGTCCAGTAACTGATAACTACATACCCAAAATGTGGTATGTTCATTTAATGGATATTATCTACACATATAAAACTCTAATATCAAATATACAGAACAATCAAACAACCGGTGGCTATGATGTGCACTGACCACCAGGGGGCACATGTGGAAGGAACATGTTGGGTGTCGGCAACAGGTGACAGAATGCAGAACATGGCGGGCATTTGGCTGTGGCAAGATGGTGGAGCAGGTGAGTGGAGGCGCCAGACCAAGGCGGGGGCGCTGGTTAGTGTCAGCAGGTGCGAATGGCAGCTGCCAGCCCCGATTGCCCCTTAGGGCTTCTCCACCTCCCCTGCTCCTGAGGGGCCATAGGGGCTGGCAGCCACTGCTTGCACCCACTGCTAGTGCTGGCCCCAATCGCTCCGGGCCTTCAGCGGGTGCAAGTGGGGCCAGCGCCATCAGCATGTGGGAGTGGCAGTGGTGTGGCAAGAGCAGGGCTGCCAGCAGACAGGGGACGGGGGGCTGTGGCAGGAGGGGCTGGGTGAGGGTGTGGAGGGTGGGCTGAGACCCACCCATGTGTCCACTGCAGCTTCACAGCCCACAGTTCCTTCCAAGGTGCAAGAATTCATGCACTGGGCCCCTAGTTGTCTGTAAAAAGTAATCGGTGACTAATACATGCTACAATAGAGGTGAAGCTGGAGAATATTCTGCTCAGTGAAAGAAGTCAGACACAAAAGGCCATGTACTACATGATTGTATTGATATGAAATGTCTAGAAAAGGCAAACCCACAAACAGAAAGCAGGTTAGTGTGCCAGGTAGAGCTGGTGGGTACAGGGTTTCATTTGAAGGAGAGAAAAATGTTCTGCGATTAGGTAGTGGTGAGAGCTGCACAATTTTGTGAACAGACTAGACACCACTCACTCACCCACTTTTAAAGGGCTCATTTTATGTGGATTGTGTAGTAAAGTGAAAATGCTAAAAAGTAAACACAGCCTTCAAGCAGCTTGCCATGCCTGGGGAGAGTGTCCGGCCAGGTGACAGTGAGCCTCTCTCCTTGCCGGGAAGCTCCACGGGGTCAGGAGCTTTTGTTCACCAGGGTATTCCCGCCCCCTGGCACAGGCCTCCAGGAACGAAAGAATGAGTGTGCTAAGTCCTGTGACAGCGATGGGCCACAAAGGAGAGGTCATCAGAAAAACCCAGGGTGCTCAGAAAAAGCAAAGGCCGTGACGTGGACAAGATTTACTGTCCCACGACACCACAAAGATTTTCAAAGCCCTCCGAGTGGCCATCCCGAGTCCCCAAGCAAAGCCCACAAAGGCGCCTCTGTCTGGCCCACTGCCCACTCCCTGCACCCTGGGATCCCTTCCTCTTTAAATCCCACAGACTCAGAGCTCTGCTCTGCCCAGGAGCCTGTAGTGCGGAGAAAGGGATGTCTGTACACGCCCATTGGCTGTCCCCTGCATGCTCCCTGAACGGGGCCCAGGACAGAACCTGCAACCCAAGTACGCCTGTCCCCTTCCGTGCGAGAGCCAGAACTCTAACCACTGAGCGACACCAGCCAGGGCACCATTTGTTTTCTTGTTCCTCTTTCCAAGGTGGGCTCTAGAGAGCCCTAGGTATAGGGATACGTCGTTTTATTGTGCTTTGTTTTATTGTGCTTCATAGATGTCACATTTTTTACAAATTGAAGGCAAGATTACGACTCAGTTGCGACACTCGCTTTATTACGACTCAATTGCGGCAGTTTGGGACCAAATGCACATTATCTCCGAGGTGTAACTGCACAGCTCTGACGTCATCACCAAGGCACCTGCAAGACCCCCAGCTACTCAAAGGTAAGTGCCAGGAAAGAAGGAAGGATGGGAGGGAGGGAGGGAGGGAGGGAGGAAGGAAGGAAATGGCTTTTGACTTCTGGAGCCAGCCAGAAGGAAGTGAATTTTTTAAAATCTGTTTTCAAGGACTTTAGACTATTGGGCGGCTGTGGCTGGAAACGGAGTGCTGTTGACACGTGAGGGATTTGGCAGTGAGCTCTCTGTCACAAGCACGAGCTTAGAGGGAAAAGAAATGTGCAAAACTCGGCATTGTGGTCTTGGCAGAGTATCAGGGCAGGAAGAGCAAAGGATTTGCAGTCAAAGTTGGGTGTGAAAAATAGCCCTGCAACTCACCAGCTGTGTCATCTTAGGAAGTACAAAACCCGAGGCTCAGCTTCCTCGTGTGTAACATGGGGATCTAGCCTCAGGTGACCAGACGTCAAAAAGCAGCCAAAAGCGGGACGTCTGGTCACCTTAGTAGCCCCTAGCCCGCTGGGTTACTTTGCGAGTTAAACAAATAGAATGCGTGTGAAGCATCCTGATCAATGCCTGGCCAATAAGAGACCCTCCATAAATCGCAGGTATTCTTTTTCATTCTTATTACAACTATATAGTGACACTTTGTCCCTTTGAAGGATATTTGAAAATAAGTTTCCATCCCCCAAACTCTCACCTTCCAGTTTGTTCTACAAGCCTATTCAAAGAAACACCGAGCTCCGGGTTTCTATCCTGGCTACACTGCGAGTGGAGCTTCTACACCATTTCGTAACGAGTGTCTCCGATGAGATCACAGAACCGCAGACACTAATCCTCCCCGGGGAAGCTCTCGTACTTTTTAGCCTGTCCACAGAACAAAGCAAAGAGCTGTCCGCCCCGTGGAGATGCTGACGGTGAGAGTTTTTGTTCCTAACATACCTCAAACTTTAAAGTGACATCTGATCTCGTTGTTCATCTCTTATAGTCTTCGACATTGCACAGCATGTGTGAACTCACATGGTTTACGAAGGAAAAGAAGAGTGGGAGAAGAAGAGGGAGGAGGGAAGGGGGAAGGCACAAGCATGGATACTTTGAAAACCTCCCAGGTGATTCCAGTGTGCAGCCAGAGGCCCCCTGGATGGTGCCAATTCCCTTGCACACGCACTCTTACCCCCCCCCCCCCTCGGTTAAACAGTAAACAGGAAATACCTGCTGGCTTGTGTCTCTCTACAGGTGCTGTTGGGTTTAATGAAATTGCACCCGCCTGACATTTATTGTGCTTGATAGACACTGCCGGGTGCCACGTGCTTATTGTAAAACAACCTCGAGGAACGCTAGAGAGCACACTAGATCAAGGTCAGGGCTGTGTGTTTATACACGGGGGAATGGGGAAGCTCAAGGCCTCAGCCAGGTGAGCATTGGCTTATAAGAGATTTCAGATATCCCTACTAGGGGTGTCAAACTCAATCAGAGAAGGGGCCAAAATCTAAAATCCAGCCTAAATCGCGGGCCGAATGGTTTACTGAACAGTCATAAACTGTCATTGTGATGGAAACGCAGCGGAGTGCAGTGATGACAGCGCGGTGCGGGCCACATTGCAAGGCCTGGCGGGACGGATTTGGCCCGCGGGCCTTGTGTTTGACACATGTGCGGCCTAAGCTGTAGATCTGATCACAGACACTCCAAAGATGCAAGTTAAAAAAAATGTTTAAAGAAATTTTTAAAAATCAAAGCATAGTTGCTTATTTTCAGCTTTCTCACAATGGTGTTTTCAGGTTGTATCTTAGAGACTGTGGGTTCTTGGTTTCCTCTTTGTTCATGCCACCACTAGATGGCGCACATTACAAAACATTAACCCTAGGTGGGGCTGCTTTACCTTGACTAAAAGGCAATCAGAGGGAAAGTTGCCAAATTTAGCAAATAATAAGAGCAGGCTCCCAGTTAAATTTGAATTTCAGATAAACAACAAGAAATTCTCTAGTATAATCATGTCCCATGCAATATTTGTCTGAAATTCAAGTTTAACTGGGTGTCCTGTCCTTCACCTGGGTCTAATGTAGCCTCATAAGAATGGTCAGACAATGACATGTTTTGGAAATGTTTGCTCTATGAGATATTCTGAATTCCTTAGGTCAACACGTGGATAAACATGAGAAGAGAAAGAGACTGCATTTTTCAGATTTTTCCCCACAACCCTCAAGGCATAACAGTCCTACAGAGGAAGCTGAGCTCTGCTCCTTGGGAAGGGAGGGAAGGATCCAGATTGATTAAAGTGAGTCATCCTCACTCCCCTGCTGAGAGGTCCCCATCCCGGGAACTCAGCCCATCTGCATGGATTCAATCCACACACCTTTTAAGGACCTGAGACTGAACTCCCAGGTAACATGGCAAGGAATCCAGCTGAGATTTTAACCTAAGCAGTCTGACAGAGAAGCCATTGCAGAAACTTAATTAAAATGCAGCCCCTACTGCATGGCCAGTGTGGCTCAGTGGTTGATCATC